TCTACAACCGCCCGCATCTGTGTTTGGGAGACGGGAGCTTGAAAACAAAATCCGACCACCCCCCCACCAGCCTCGTTCACGAAATGGCGGACACTTGGGCAACGTTCAAAACCGGTGCAGCCTCTCTTTGTTGGCAGCGACGGGAGCGGCCTCCTCGACGAAATCAGCGATGCCAGCGCGCTTCTCAAGCACGAGCAGTTCGTACTTCTCGGCCCGCATATCCTCGGTGCGCGCTTTCAGGCGCACATGGAGGAGTACAAAAAGGAGAAGCAGCGGATCAACGAGGAGGGGGCGTCTACAGATGTCCAGCACTGAGCGCGCATGGGCTACAGTGCGAAATGACGTTTGCTGCGCAACAAACTGTTACGAACCACCTCGCGCACAACAAGACGCGCGCGCAAGGAGTACGACATGTGGCAAGACTCGCTGCAGTGAACAAACAGTGTAAAGCATGCAGTCCCATGCTCAAAAGCAAGGCAACGGCAAGCTACCGCATGAAGACGACTTTCGAGAACGAGCTCTGTAATCCGGATTGTGCTAGCCCGGGTCATCAGGAGGCAATAGTGGAATCCACGTCGAATCTACAACGGCACTCCATGGGCGTTAACAGCTCGAGCATTCGCGACTGCTGCTCACGAGCCTTTCAATGATATTAACCAGGGAGTGGGAAGATTGGGAGTTAGACCTCGGGCGTGATGCCAGACTGCTGGAACGGACTACTGCAAGCCAGGACGACAAGTGGCGAAGACGGCGCGCCGTCCCACAATAACCAAAAGGAAACGGACAACGGCGGGACCGACCAACAATTGCCCAGGGAACTGGAATTCGAGTCGCGGCTGACGAGGTTCCGCGAGAACGAGTACCAAGTGATAGTCAACATGGTAGCCGTCCAAAAGCACTACGACAAGAACGTCCAGGACATCGGGGGCGGTTACAACCTGGGGAACCCTCACCTCCACCTTTTTTGGGGGAGCGTGCTGGACGATACCGAGAGCTTGTTCGTCAAGGGCGTCACCGCAGACCTCCAGGGCTCCGAGTACCTCGTGGAGAGGCTGAAATACAACGTCCTGGTCTCCAAGTACTTGATTATGATCGAGGACTGGTGCAAGGTACAGTAGGGGCCCGACCACAAGAAACCTTCTACAAGACACCCAACCCTGAGACCCCAGGATATGCATTGATTTTTGGTGTGGAAGCGTCACGCTTCCCGTCGCAAAAACCATCGAAACCTGAAAAACACACGGCACCTTGGAGGCAAGCAGGGTGTCTCTTGGCAGGGGCCTCCACTGTATGTGGGTTCAGCAGGACCTGCGACGCGGCCGAGTGGTAGTCGGCAAGGACCTCGAGGCGGCAACGAGCATGCACACGGAGGCCAAGATCGCCAACGACGACGGCCTCATTCACACCAGCCCCCTCGAGGTAGACAGTCGTCCTCAGAACCATGGGGGCGGAGGGCAGGCAAGGTCGCGCGCCCAAGGGCAACATGGTCAGGAAAGTGGACAAGAAGAAGCGGCCCGCGTGAGCCACCCCGCCGACGAGGCGGGTGGCGGTCCCCTCTTGGACTGTAACTCAGCTGGTGAGGACGCTGCTGAGATCCTTCTCGGGTAAGTAACCCCAAGAGCTGCAGTGAAGACGCTCGCTAGCAGGCGCGGTCCAGGCGACCAGAGGCATCCTCAATAGACCCTTGCTTCTCGAGGTCGCCGAGTGGGTGTTGAAAATTCAGCACCACCACCACCATCATCATCATCATCATCATCATCATCGTCATTACATCAAATTTATCATCGTTATTGTCATCACCATCATCATCATCATCACCACCGTCACCATCATACTTACACTGATAATAAGCACCATCAACATCATTGGCACCATCATCATTGCCATCATCACCCACACCATCATCATCCTCATTATCGTGATCATTGCCATCACCATAAGCATCATCATCAAAATCATCACCACCATCATTATCAACACTGCCAATCTCATCATCATTACCAACACCGTCTTCATCACCATCGTCACCACTGTCATCATCACCGCAGTCGCCATCGTCGTCATCATCAACACTACCATCACCATCATCCTTGTCGACAGCAACATCATTATCATTATCATCATCATCATCTTCATAAGCATCATCATCATCCCCATTTCCTTCGTCATTACCATCATCATGAAACATCATCATCACCATCACCACCGTCATCGTCGTTACCATCACCATCACGATCGCCACCATCATCATTATCGTAAGCATCACCTTCACCATCATCAGCGTCTCAGTCACCATCATCATACTCATCATCATCATCATCATTATTATCATCACCACCACCACCATCACCATCATTGCAATCACCATCATCATTATCACGATCACCATCACCATCATCATCATCACCATCGTCACCATCGGCATCCACATCATCATCAGCATCATCGCCATCACTATACCATCACTATCATCGTCACCACCACCATCATCGTCATCATCGTCATCATCATCGTCATCACCATCATCATCACCATCATCATCATCGCAATCAACATCTTCACCGCCATCTTCATCTTCATCTCCAGCTTCATCTTCATCGCCATTGACATCATCACCAACAGCAGCAGTAGCATCATCATCATCATCATCATCATCATCACCATCACCATCACCACTACCATGACTCACTCTCGCTCACACACCCACGCACTTGCGGCGCACTCATCGTGAGAACGTCTCGGGCGGGAGCCTCGTCTGTGAGTGAATCTCGAAAGGGTTTCGAACAGGAGCCCCTCCCTATGAGGTCCCCACCTCCATGTTTGTAATCCGATGCGACCATTTGACCACCCTCTGAGACACACAAGACTAGAGACACCTGGGTGTCTAAGTCTCGAGCGGGAACCTCGTCTGTGAGTGAGTCGCGGGGAAGTCTCGAGCGGGAGTCCCTCCTTATGGGGTCCCCACCTCATGTTGGTAAGCCGAAGCGGCCATCGGTATCCCCTGTAAAACGACATAAGTTTGGTGACGCCTGGGAGACTGCATCCCGAGGGCGTCTGGAGCGGGAGCTTTGTTCCTGAGCGCACTGGGAGGATGTTTCGGGCGCTTGCTTGCCGGTGGGCGAATTGCGAGGAAGTCTCGAGCGGGAGCCGCCTCCCTTTGGGGTCCCCATGTTCGACTCCGAGGCGGCTATCGGGACACGTTGTAAACATGAAAGGTTTGGTGACACCTGGAAGCCTGCATCCCGAGGAAATCTCGAGCGGGAGCCTCACTCCTGAGCGGAAGGATGTCTTGGGCGTTCAGTCGTCTGTGAATGGATCGCGAGGAAGTCTCGGGCGGGAGCCCCTCCCTATGGAGTCCCCACCTCCATGCTCGAATCCGACGTGACACCTCTGGGCCTTCATCCCTGGGACGTCTCGAGCGGCAGCCTCGTTCCTGAGCAAACTGGGAAGATGTCTCGGGCGCTCACTCGTCTGTGAGTGAATCGCGAGGCAGCCTCCTCCTCCTCCTCCTCCTCCTCCTCCCGACCGCCTCATGTTGGTAATCTGAGGCGGCCATCGGGATACTGGGGGCCAGAATCCCGAGGAAATCTAAAGAGGGAGCCTCGTTCCTGAGCGAATTGAAAGGATCTCTCGGGCGCTCGCCTGTAAGTGAATGCGGGAGCCCCTCCCGATGGCCCCCGCCCACTTCATGCTATTGATCCGTGGCGGTGATCGAAATGCCTTGTAAAAAACAAAGGTGTGATGACACCTGGGAGTCTGAATCTTGAGAACGTCTCGAGCAGGAGCCTCGTTCTTATGTCGGACGTCCTTTGTAATCCGAGGCGGCCATCCTCAGTTAAGCTTGTAAGAGTCGGTAAAAGCCAGCATATACCAGACAGGCAGGGAACCTCCGTAGTCACAAGGGCGACGATAAGGGCTACTTCCAGATTCGTTTGGAAGATTATCATGTGGCGTCCTGTCGTCGGAGTATTTGTTGTTGATTTTGTAATTGTTTGGTTTGTTTGATGTTTTGTTGGTTTGTTCGTTCGTTTGTCTGCTTGTTTGTTTGTGTATCTGTTGGCCGTTTTGATTATATTCATTTTTTTGGGGGGCAAAGTTTACGACATGGGGATGGTACTGGGCGCAGGTGGACGGCGGGAGGCTCATGATCGGACTGCGCCGGCAGAGACAGAGCGTGACCACGGACACGGTCGAATCGAGGAGCGCAGGAGCTGGTGCCCGAGTGCCTTTTGTGGCTGGCTGGATCGGCCCCCACATGTCGCCGGCCCTTGGATCCAACCGCCAGTGAACTCCCTGGGCCCGGGTCGCTGTCGTCAGGACTACGGGTCCCTGGCGCTCGGATTGGCGCCCGGGGCCGCGATCGCACAGCTGGGTCCAAAGGAAGAGCGGCCAAAGACCAGAGCTGCCCCGAGTCGGGGGCTAGGCGCATACGCATCGTTCATGTGTAGCCAGCTCACCTACGCATTGCCTTTTCCTACACGTTCCTGGTCGCAGGGTGGCAGCAGTGCAGTTTTTGAGATGGGTGGCAGCTGCCCCTCCCCAAATCCCACCCTGAATACGTCGAAGTCCATGACCTGAGAGATCTCAGTTGACATACACATGTTGACCCCCTGTCAACACAATCCGATCATCACGGCCACCCCCAATTCGACCTGAGCCTTACCTAGTGTCCTCCGAGCGAACATGACTGGCAGCGGCTGGACACGCTGAGCTGACTCGAACCTGACAAGAACATCGCCTCTTTCAAGACAACGACCCCGAAGAAACGTGGCACGCCGTGCACCTCGCGTCTTCGCCTTTGCCGTGCCGAGAAATAACACATTTTATCCCAACATTATCTCGTGCCCACCCCTGTCGTGCTGGCATCCCCTCTGCAGAACCCACACCCACATGCTCCCTTGACTTCACCCTTGCACGTCCGCCCCCTCGCCCAGAACGAGAAACAAGCATACGATGTTGTACCTGCGTCAGCAGCGCCCCCTCTCCCAGTCCAGGGGCTCCTGCACGTCCTGAACCCTGACGTTCTCGAGGACGCGGTGGACGAGGGCGTCCTCAGCAGGTGTGTCAACCCCGCCCGCCCCACTTCTGGCCACCCCATGCCGCGTCATCCCATCCTCCACGCTCCACGAAAGTTCACTGTGTGCGAGGAGGGCGTGGCGGGTGACCGATAGGGGGGGGGGAACAGCTTGAATCGGCGATGCATCGCCGATGGATCGGCGATGGGCTCCCGACAACGAATCCGCACGGTCCTGGGCGGGGTGGGCTATCAGGCCCCTATCTGCGATGTAAGGGCGGTTGGGGGCTGATGCGTTCTCCCCTGGGCCTATCCCACCCCTGTCGTTGCCCCCTATCCCCCCACCCATCGTTGCCGCCTATCGTTCCCCCCCTATCGTTGCCCCCCCTATCATTGCCCCCGAGGGGGTGTGAGGGGGGGGAGCCAGAACTTCGCTGCTGCGATCTGTTCGCAACATGGGCCCCCGAGGGTCTGGACCCCTTCCCCGGGACCGGGGCTTCCTCCCGAGTGGCTTTCTCGCAGGCCCCGGGCCAGGGCGAAGGCCCTCTTCGACGGCACGCAAGAGTGACCCTGGGCAAGGGTGACCTCTGTCTGGGGCGCGGCTTTTTTGGCGCCGCGGGGGGGCCAAATACAAGACGGCAAGATACCCCATTCGGCCCGCAAAGGTGACTCTGGCGAAAGGTCACTCTCACATGTGGCCGACCTCTGGAGGCCGAGAACTGCCCAAATCGTCCGCCGTGGTTCTCTTCCCGGCGAGAGGAAAGGGGGGGGAGGCCCGAAAGGGAATCTGGAATTCACGCAAGCCGGGACTCACTCGCACTCCTTTTCGGCCCAGCATTGCCTGACAAGGCGGCAGCGAAGGGGAGGGATGGGTGGGGGTGGGCATGCAAGTGAACCTGCCTGAATCTGAAGAAAACGCCCTCCAGAGCAGCTGCACCTCGTGCAAGGAGCTTCTGGCCCGCGCGCGCTACCGTGTGCTGAGCGTCCGCCGTGGAAAAAGGAGGCGACGGTGCCGAGACAAGAAGTGTCCACACCAAAGGGGTGAAGACAAATTGACATGGTAGCAGCCATTACTGCGTAATGCGGTCGGGATCTTTTGGATAGCGTGTCGCCGTGGCGGCCTCAGCGACACGCTGTGCCATGCTTGGTGATGGCGTGTCGCTCCGTTTCGTGTGGCGGAAGGCTTGGACAAACTCGGGGCGTGGACGCTGGGGGGCAGGGAAGTGGATAGCTTGTCGCGCCGAAGCGTGGTGGGCCAGAACTGGCGGAGCGCCATATCCCACAGTTTCCGACCAGACATCTAACTCTCGTCCCTGTCTTGGCGCGATGTCGGGGGCCCCCAAGCGGTGTGGTGACCACACCGCGTATGATTCGATTAATTTTGGAAATCGGGTCGTTCTCCGAGGACGTCTCGGGCGACTGGGGCCTCCTATGTCCCAAAACCGTGTGGTGACGGACCGCGCGGTGAGGTCTATTGGGATTTCGAGGTCACGGCGCGGTCCGTTACCAAACGGTTTTGGGACCGCTGGCGATGGGCAAGCAAGCAAGAAGTTATACTCGGTGGCGCGCCTGGGGGGAAGTGAGAAGGGGCGGGCCTTTTCAGAAGGCTCGGAAGTCCCCCGGCCTTCTGAAAAGTTTCCTAGCCTTCCCCGAAAACGCAGAAAGCCTCTCAGTAGGCCAGAGGGCTTCTGAGAAGTCCCGCCGAATTCTGAGAAGGCCTCCTCCTTCTCACTTCCCCCCTCGCTCGCCGCCGACATACACATGGAGATGCGCAGGGCACGACTATGGACAAAGCATGAACTCTTCTCTCGCCGCCGGGGTCGGCCGCCCCGAGGGGTGGGGCCCAAGCGGAACACCGAGGAGCCGGAGAGGGGGGAGGAGGAGAGGGGGGAGGCGACGGGAAGATGCGGCGACGAGCGAGGGGGGGGGGGAATGACAAGGAGAAGGCCTTCTCAGAAGGCGGCTGGACTTCTCAGAAACCCTCGCGCCTTCTGAGAAGTTTTCTGTGTCTTCGGAGAAGGCTTAGAAAACTTCTCAGAAGGCCGGGGGACTTCCGAGCCTTCTGATAAGGCCCCCCCCCTTCTCACTTCCCCCCCAGGGCTCGCCGCCGAGAGGAGCGAAGGGAGACAAAGAGGGAGAAAGCAAGGCGGCGATGGGTTTGGGCACCTGTTGTCCGGGCACAGGAGCGGCATCGTGGAGGGAGCGGGGCGGGGTGAGCCCCAGGTCCTGCTTCATCTTGAGCGTGGCGACGCCTCTCGGCACCACTGGCAGGAGCCACGCGAGGGCAAGCCGGGCAAGCAAGACCGCATGCGCGTAGTACGTGAACGCCTCCAGCTTCCCAAGCGTGTCCAGCCCCGCGTGCTCCTCTCGGCCACATTCTCCTCCTCGTCCTTCTCCCCCTCCTCCTCCTACTCCTTCTTCTTCCTTCTCCTCCTCCTCCTCCCCCTATCCTCCTTCTCCTCCTCCTCCTAGCCCTCCTCCTCGTCACCCTCGTCCTCCCCCTAGCCCTCCTCCTTTCTTTCTGCAGTCGGGGCCAGCACCCAATGGCTTCTCGGCGCGACGCACGGGGGAAATGTCACACAAGACTGCGGCAAGAGCACACGCGCGAAAGGAGGAAAGAACACAAGCAAGGAAGACAGCGGGCGGCACGCAAGAGGCAGCAGTGAAACACAAGACGCACGAAGCAGGGAAACGAGGAAACTAAGAAAGAGAAGACAAACGAGAAAACAAAAGAGGCGACGCAAGAAGCGAGACAACCTAACAAACAAAATAACAACGGGTAACGGGCGGGCCGAAACTGTGGGCACCATAATAAATTTCCTAGCCGGGCAGCCAGGAGGACGAGATCACGTGAGAGCGGAGGGAATGGGAGGGCGAGAAGCGGCGCTGTGTACTACCCCATCCTGGCTGGAAAGCTCAAGTACACAAGGCCAGCGCAACACGAACTAGCCGACAAGCGGGGGACGAGGAGGAACGCAGAGGAAGCATTTCTCAAATGAAACCGAGACGCAAGATTCTTGGTGCAAGACATGCCAAAGCTCCTCGTGACTTGCCCCCCTCTGGTGCGGGGCGCGCAGGCCGAGGGCGCACAGCCGAGACCGACATCGCGCGGCCGAGGCGCGGAGCCGCCTGCCCCTGGCAGGGCCCGAGCGCCAGCGGCGGCGAAGGGCGGCGGTGCCGTGCGCGATCGAGGGGGGCCCGACGGCGCGCGAGCCACGTCAAAGTCTGCGACGGGGCTGCGGCAGGGGGTGCCCCAGGACAAGGACGGCTGACCGCGGCCGCGCAAGAGAACACCCGCGCGCCGCTGCGGACGCGCCCGGCAGGGCGGGGCCCTAGCAGTTCACGCTCCGAGGGCAGGGGAGGAAGAGAAGAGCCGTCGAAGCCAGGACGAAGATGACATCGGGTGAGGATCGATTAAGAATCTCTGAGATCCCGCGGCTCTGGAAGATGTCGCGGGCGCCGCGGCCTTCTCAGAGCGTTCCGGAACGCCGTGCGAGCGACCCGGAACTCTCTGGAACGGACTTATCTTCGTCCTAGCCCTGTCCGAAAGAGAGAAAGAATGCGGAGGAAGGACGGGCAATGGCGCGGCTGGCATCACCGCCGACCCAGCCCCTGGCCGCAACTGCTAGTGGCGGGCGCAGCGGAGGAGGCAGCTGCGGCTGGCGTCAGCAGGCGATGTCGATGGGCATGATCGAAAATGTCTCTTTGAGTGGCCCAACTGCCACCCCGTAAACGCACTACCAGTCCACAGATCAATCAATCCCCAGCTGGAACAGGAGTCGGATGTGGAGTTTGGGCCCGAGCCCGAGTCGGAAAGGGGGTCGGGACTGGAGTCGGAGCCGCCGCTGGAGTCGGGGCTGGGGTCGGAGCTGGTACTGGCAACTGGTTGGCGCAGGAGTCGGAGCCCGCATCGGAGCTGGCGTGCCTCACACTGTCCCAGCCGTCGTGCTGCTCACCGCCGTACAGCTCGCAACATGGTGCTCCCCAATTCTGGATGTCAAAATCGTGCTGCTGCTGCTCCCACTTGTGCTGCTGGACGACGTGCGGGTGGTGGGTCGTGTTGCTCACAACCGTGCTGGTGCCCGCACTGCTTGGTCCACTCCTGGGTGCCAGGGCCGTGCTGGTGCTCCCCCGCGTGCTGCTAGACGTCGCGCTGCTCTGTGGACGGCGTCCCATATCGAGCGCCCCCCTCGTGCCGGCGCAAGGCCAGTGAGAGCCGAAGGCCGCCGCACAGTCCAGAGTCGACAAATGTGGTGCGATTTGTTTGTTCTCTCCGTTGGCCAAGCAATAGACACGAGCTTGCCAAGAAACCGTGCGTCGAAAGTGGCCGAAACTCGGGTCATGCTCGCTCCTGGGAAGGCGCTCGGAAGCAACCTTATGCTGCCGCCGCTCTGTCCTCATAAGTACTGGCCAGTCTCTGAGGAGACGTCAGTCTCAATTACGAGGCAATTCTACCTACCACACCCATATTTTTGAGTTTAAGCTGTGCTGCTAGGGCACAGTGTTTGCCAAAAGCAGTCAATCCATGGAGGTCCAGTGGAGTAGGCAAAGAAGGCCAACAACAAGCGAGGCCCACTTAGAGGCCAATGGGAACGACACTATAGGGCGGTTGGGAGCCAGAGCAGCGGAAGAACAACATACCCTCCTGTCTTCCACACTGCTTGACGCCGTCGTACCGCTCACAGACGCGCAGTTCGTCACCCTGGACGTCCCACTTTTGTGTGTCAGAATCGTGTACTCCCCATTGTGCTGCTGGGCGCAGGGTTGCTTGTAGCCGTGGTTATGCTTACAGACGCGCTGCTCGCCACAGTGCCCGTCGATGTCAGAGTTCCGCGGGTGTGTGTCGCCCAGATCAGTTCTGATCGCTACTTAGTCGTGGTACGGTTGGATGTTGAATTGGTTGATGGTCGCAGGGTGGTGGGGCGACTGGTGCTGGCTGGGTGGATTGTTGCTTGGCGTGGCCTCGCAGATCGCCAGAAGGGGCTCCGCTGGGCACTGCTCGCTGCGGGGAGTCTGCCGTCGGCAAGTCGTTTCCGCGCAGCGCGGAAAACAGCTGCGTGCGTGCCGTGGGCCTGCCGTGGACGGCGCCGAATCAGCACCCCTGGCTCGATTGGCTGAGGGGGTGGCGGAGCGTGCACGGCGCCGTGCTGGATGGCTTGGTGTGTCTGGGCTGGTCGCCCGCGGTGGGGTGCGTCGTCGGCTGCTGCCCATGATGCTGCGGGACGCCGTGCGGCTCGTCGCCGTCGTTCTGCTCAGGGAAGCGGTGCTCGTCCACCACGCTGCACGTCCAGCTTACGGCGCAAGACTCCGTCATGGTGGGCCACGTGGTAGCTCTCGACGCCGCAGTGCTGGACCTGGTGTGAAGCTGGCGCGCCTTTGGCAACAGAGGGGGGCGATGAAAGGCTGCGGAACGGCACGGCGGATGTCACAAACTTGGTGCGCGGCGATTCGCGGCAAAGCGGTACACCCCCTATGCGGGCGGGGAGATGCTTCATAGCAACATGAAACACGTCAAGGACTCGGTGCGCTGCGATTCTCTGCAGGATAGGCGGGTACACCCTCATGATGGCGTGGGCTGCAGAGCAGCATGCTGATTGTCGTGGACTCGGTGCGCGGCGACTCGCGGCAGGAAAGGCCAGCACACAAACAATATGAGTGCGACGAAGGGCTGCAGCACAACAGTGGTGGTTGAGGCTGGTGTCGGAGCTGGGGTCATAGCGGGAGTCGGAGTTGGAGTAAGGGTAGGAGTCGGAGCTAGCCCAAGAGTCGGAGATGAAGCCTACAGTCAGCACGCATAGTAAGGATGAGCAACTTTCCAAGGTTACCCATGCATCTTTCCCCTTCGGCCCATCCTTAGCCACTTTCGCTGGCCGAGCCCCGCTCGCAAAGTGTCGACATGGCCTTCCAAGGCCCTTGCATCCTTATCGTGCGTCCTTATTATATGGGTTGACTGTGAGCCAGAGCCTGCATCGCAGGAGCTGGACCAAGAGTCGGAGATGGACCCCGGCGTTGTGAAAACTCTGTAGTGGCGGGTAACATGGTAACGCTCGATTCCGTAGCGCTGGATACCGACATGGTGCTCGACACTGTATCGAGAATCGCCGTGGTAGCGCGAGTTTCCGCTTTGCTGGATAGCGATGTGGTGCTCGAAACCATCGTGGTGGATGCCGTGGTCATACCTGACTCCGTGGTGCCGGATACTGACGTGGGGCCATATATCGACGTGGTGCACGGCGCAATCGTTGTAAGAGACAGCGGCAGTGCCAGACTCCGGAATGCTGGATGCCGACGTAACGCCCGACCCCGTCGTGGTGGAAAACGCCGTGGCGCACGATTCCGTAGTGCTGGAGAGTGCTGCTGGTGGTTGCTGCCGCTGCCACGTCCAACGTGATGCTCGTATTCGTACCGCTGGTCAGCTACACGTCGGACTGGTCACGTTGGCAAATGTGCATTTACTTGTGGCCGAAATCAAAACCAACCTGTCGTGGTCGGCGGTGTCCGATAACCCTCGCGATCGTCGTCGGCGACGCGTCGCAGGGAGCCAATGACGTCGTGATTACACTCGTAGTTGTCGTCAACGATGGCCGCGGGACAGGCAGACAATCGTCGTCAAACTAGTCACGCTGATGGACGTGCCTGAGCTTGTGGCCGTGGTGCTGCATGAGCCTGCGGCCGTCGTCAACAGCGTGCCGCTGGTCCTGGTCACATTCGTCGAGCAGGCCACGCTGATGGATGCGCACTGCTGCTTGCTGCTGAAGGTGCCATTGGTGACGATCGTCGCGCAGCTGGTTACTGCCGTGCTGACCGCCATCCTCATCATTCTCCCCCTTCTCCTGCTCGTCCTCTTCCGCACCCAATCGCCCTCCTCTACCACCTCCCCTTCCCCCCTCACCCTATGCCTCCTCAATTCCTTTTCCTTAGAAACAACTTCTCCCTGTCGCACGCTGAGGCCGGTCGAAAGGGCGGGCCGGGCGTTTCGCATGAGACTTCCTCGCCACGCTTGACCCTGAAGCTTAACAGTTGGCAGCAGTCTTACGGATTGAAGGCGGGTCGTTTTCAAAATGTGGCCCTCGCCTTAGCGCTGTGCACACTTGTTCTAAAACATTGCAAGAGTTTTGCGGATTGAAGGCGGGTGGTTTTCAATACTTGGCTCTCGCCTCAGCGCCGCGCACATTCGCTTTAAACATTTGTAGAAGCTTCACGGATTGAGGGCGGTTCGTTTTCAAAACTTGGCTGTCGCCTTGGCGTCGCACGCATTCCTTTTAAATAAGTTGCAAGGGTTTCACGGATTCCCAAGGTCAACGTACTAGCAATTGTGTTCAGGAAAGATTTAGGATTATGAGGGTGCAACAGTGACGCTGGTTCGCGGTGTTGAAGTTCCAGGTGTGGCGTTTGGTGCGATTCACGATCGTCAATACGTAACTGTCAGGTTGGTCCGTGGCGTTGGACTCCCAAAACTTTTTTTGCATGTTTCAGGGTCTTCAAGCGGTTGTCTTCCAACGAAGAAGTAATGGACATGAGCCCTTGTAGGGGCCTGCGATGAGGGAGCTTGGAGGGATGGTGTATGCCAGCATCGTTGATGACTCTTGGGTTTACACTGATCCTCTTCTTCCTCCCCCTCCTCCTCCTCCTCCTCGGCCGCATTCGTCGAGCTGATGGATGCGCCTGTTTCTTGCTGCTGAAGGTGCAAATGGTGACGATCGTCGCGCTGCAATTTACCGTCTTGCTGACCGCCCTCCTCCTCCTTCTCCTCCTCCTCCTCCTTCTCCTCCCTCTCCTCCTCCCCCTCCAATCCTCCGCCTCCCCCTCCTCTTCTAAAACGGAACGTTCATCAGGGGTGGGCTGGCTCAGGGGGGGGAACATCGACCAGGAATCGGCGATACATCGCCGATACGCCCCCGATAGCGAATCCGCACGTTTCGCTCTCTCTCTCTCTCTGTGTGTACTTGGTGTTCGGGTCATCACTCGGCTCTCCGACGGCCGTTCGGGACGATCCAGCACCACCGGAATGCTCTCGGCGAGGAGCAGCTGCTGGAGACCGTCAAGAGGCTAGAGAACAGCCGAAAATCGACGGAAACGCATGAAAACCTCGAGCCTCGAACCATTTCGTGTCTCCCCCTGCTCCTGTCCCCCCTAACGTTGCCCCTGATGCTCCTTGCCCCTGCTGGGAGGTACCCTGCCCGCAGAGGTGCCGAAATGTTCACGGGTCCGGCCGCTGCCTGCTGGCAGGCAGGCGCGGGCAAGGCGCAGGCGAAGCGCACGAGAGCCAGTCACGTCGCGCACCCCTGCGCCTGTTGGGGTGCCGCCGAGCCTGGAATGCAACCTTCGTAAACCGTCTCGTCCCCCAACATTCTCTTGTCGTGAACAGACCGCGACGGACGTTTTGTTGTTGTTGTTGCTGCTGCTGCTGTTGCTGTTGCTAATGCTGTTGTTGTTGATGTTGTTGTTGTTGTTGCTGTTGTTGTCGTCTCATTTTTGAAGAATAATTATTGTTGGTTCCCCCCGTCCGGTGCGCATTGCTTTTTCGATTGAAGTGCCCTTCCCGGGGCTCGCACCCTGTTTTTTACCAGGGAAAATCTTGAAGGTCAAACTGTGTCGTTGGCCCCCGGTTTACAACAACAGCGGCTCCCGCATTAGTTTTCCTCACAATTTAGCCAGGACCCCCGCTCCCGCCCGAGACGTCCTCGCGTTTTGTTCAGGAATCGCGCTTTCGCCTGGGACTTCCTTAAAATTTATTCACCCGGCGCTCTGGAGTCGCGCTCTTGCTGGAGACTTGCTTGCAATTTACTGAAGAATAGCGCCCTTGCGTTGGAATTTCCAACAATTTACTCAAGCGCCGCGCTCCCGACACCCAGGCACCCAGGAGTCGCGCTCACGCTTAGGACTCCCTCACAGATTACACAGGAATCGGGATCTCGCTGCCCTTCGTGGCCCCGTTGCAGCCCTTCGTGGCCCCCTCGCTTTGTTTCGTGGCCCCGTTGCAGCCCTTCGTGGCCCCCTCGCTGCCCTTCGTGGCCCCGTTGCCCCTCGTGGCCTCCTCGCTGCCCTTCGTGGCCCCGTTGCAATCCTTCGTGGCCCCCTCGCTTTGTTTCGGGCCCCGTTGCAGCCCTTCGTGGCCCCCTCGCTGCCCTTCGTGGCCCCGTCGCTACCCTTCGTGGCCCCGTCGCAGCCCTTCGTGGCCCCCTCGCTTTGTTTCGTGGCCCCGTTGCCCTTCGTGGCCCCATGTATGCCCTTCGTGGCCCCCGCTCGTTCGCGCCCGTGGTGGCCCCATATGCATCTGTCCTACGTGGCCCAGTTGCTACCCTCAGTGGCCCCATCGTTGCCTTCTGTGGCCCCGCATTATCTGCCCTTCGTGGCCCCCGTTCGTTCGCGCTCTTCGTGGCCACATACGCATTCCCTTCGTGTCCCCGCTGTTGCCCTTCGTGGCCTACTTCGTGCCCTTGTGGCCCTGCTGTCGTTCTCTTTCGCTCTCGCTTTCGCTCGTCGTTGTCGTCGCCGTCGTCGTCGTCGTCGCCGTCGTCGTCGACGTCGTCGTCGTCGTCGTCGTCGTCGTCGTCGTCGTCGTCGTCGTCGTTGTCGTGGTCGGTCCCCTGTCCGTCCCTCTTGGGGTCGGGTCGACGGTCCGCGGCCGCCCCGCCGATCAGCGCTGCCGCTGGCCAGGCCGACGATCCGCGGCCGCCCCGCAGGGAAGAAATGTATACCCCCCAAAAGGGGTTCGATCTAAGACGAAGAGGGCGGGTATCGAGGGTATGGGAAATAGGCGTTATTGGACACTCGAGCAGATAAGGGCGAACAGTCTTAAAATGATTGTTGTTGTTGTTGTTGTTGTTGTGGTTGTTGTTGTTGTTGTTCTTGTTGTTGTTGTTGTTGTTGTTCTTGTTGTTGAATTCTCATGTCTGAACATGATTATTGTTGATCCCCCCTCAGCGGTGCATGCTGTTTTTTCTTAATCAAAGTGTGCCCCTCGACGCTCGCATCCTGTTTTTTGTCAGGGAAAGTCTTGGTGCTCGAACTGTGCCCCTGCCCCCCGGATTACAACAACAACGGTTCCCGCCTGAGACTTCCTCCAAATTTACTCAGGACCCCGCTCCTGAGACTTCCTAACAATTTACTCTGGATCGGTGCTCCCCCTTGTGACTTCCTCGCAATTTGGTGAGAGCCCCCGCTCCCATCTGAGACTTCCTTGCAATTTACTCAGGAACGGCGCTCCCGCTTGAGACTTCCTCGCAATTGAATGAAGACTTCCTCCCAATTTAATCAAGACCCCCGCTCCCGCCAGAGAACCCTTCACATTATATTCAGGAGTTGCGCTCTCGCCTGTGACTTCCATGCAATTTATTCAGAAAGCGCGCTTTCGACGCTCAGGAAACACGCTGCGCCAAGGACGCCGTTACAATTTACTTAATAATCGCGCTCTTGCCATACTCAGGTATCCCGCTTGAATGTCTCACCCCGCCCGACCCGCCCTGCTTCAGGAACGGCGCTTTCGCCTAGTTCCTCGAACGTTCACGCTCTTACCTTCCTGCTCCTCCTCCCTCTCCCTCCTCCCTCCTCTCCTCCGTTCTCTCTGCCTTCTCTCTTATCCTTATGCCCCTCTGCCACATCCCCTTTCCCTCCTCTCCCTCCTCCCTTCTCCCTCCCCTCTCCTGTCTCCTCCCTCCCTCTTTCTTTCTTTCTTTCTCTCTCTCTCTCTCTCCCCTCTCTCTCTCTCACTCTTGTCCCTACCTCTCTCACTTTTTTGTTTTTGTTTGTCTCTCTCTCTCTCTGTCGCGCTGCCTCTAATCAACCGCCCCCCTCTTCGCTCCTTCTCTCCTGGCGTTTTCCCTCTTCCTTCGTCCCTCCCCCTTCCTTCCTCCCACTCTCCTTCGTTCTCCCCCTCCTTTTTTTGCAAGGCCCACACCAATTCCAATGGCGGGCACATGTACGCCCACGAAGGATTGTCCGCCCGTTCAGGTTTGCCCGCCTGTCTAAGCCCGCCGCCCCCCGCAAACAGAAATAATCCCCCCAAAGGGGGTGTGATCGAAGACAAAAAGGGCGGGTATCGAGGGTGTGGGGAACTCGTTTTGCATGACACGCGGGCAAGTAAAAGCGAACAGTCGTATACTGATTGTTGTTGTTGTCGTTGTCGTTGTCGCTGTCGCTGTTGCTGTTGCTGTTGTTGTTGTTGTTGTTGTTGTTGTTGTTGTTGTTGTTGTTGTTGTTGTTGTTGTTGTTTTGTGTGTGTGTGTGGCTTCCCCCCCCTCGCCGTTCTCTTTCCCTCCCTCCCTCCGCGTGCCGCCATGGCGCTCACGAGGCTGCCACAGCTCGCAGCCTCCCCACGTGGTCGAGCACCTGGGCTTGGTCTTGCGGCATGCCCCCCTCCGCGAGCCCAGCATTTTGCAAGCTGCGGTCCGAAACTTGACTGCACATGTCCTTACTGTACCTTGTCACGTGCCACCCACCTGGGCGGCCTGCGGCCCTCGCTCTGTCGACCTAGCACCCAGTGTGCTACTTCGGCGACGTCAGTGCAGCGTGTACTTGCTTTACCCGCACTGGGCCCCGGCAGCGCCCGCGGGTGCCTCGGCGCCGCGGCCCGGCAGCTGCCATGGATCCCGCTGGCGGGGCTGGCCGCGCCAGCGCACTCAGGTGAGAACTCTTCCACCTCTGAGTGGCCTTTTTTTCCCTCCCCCCCGCGGCCGCCCGCTTTGCCTTCCTTGCACTCTTGCATGCAGGCCAATTCGCATGTCGGTGCCCCCGTCTAGCTCTATCGCTGGTGCAGCCGACTCTGCCTCGCCGCCGACGAAAAGTGTGTGTGTGTGTGTGTGTGTCTGTGTCTGTGTCTGTGTCTGTGTCTGTGTCTGTGTCTGTGTCTGCGTCAGTGTGTGTGTGTGTGTGTGTGTGTGTGTGTGCGGACTGCCTCTGCCGCGCTGCGACGTAAAAGTGTGTGTGTGTGTTTGTGTGTGTGTGTGTGTGAATGTGTGTGTGTGTGTGTTTGGTTTTCGTTTTTTCAGTGCTCGCCGCCCAAGAGCCCTCACTGGGCCTCGGGGCCGTCAAACAACGACTCAAGATGAAAGACGGATCCTCGGAAACGAACACAGCCAGCAAGATGTTGGTGGTCGCCGCGGCGAACCCGTACAGCTCGAAGGCGGTGTCCCAGGGCTCGTTGTTCCTTGCGCGCGCCGGCGTTGGTCTCTGGCTTCTCAGCAGGAGGTTGTCCCTGTCGACCTCCCGATGGCGGCAAAGAGGAGCAGGGCGAACCATTCGACACCATTTCGCCCGTTCCGGGTCCTGTTCTTGATCGCCGCTGGAGGTCGACAGGCTCAGGAGGAGGAGGAGGAGGAGGAGAGGAGGAGGAGGACCAGTGTAAACCCAAGAGTCAGCAACGAGATTGGAATAAACCCTCCCTCCAAGCTCCCTCTTCATAGGTCCCTACGGCGGTTCATTTCCACTGAAGGAACTGCCTCGTTGGAAGACATCCGTTTGAAGACCCTGAACCATGCCAAAACGTTGTTCTCTGGATTCCAACGCCACGGATCAACCTGACTGTTTCGTCTTGGCGATCCTGAGTCGTAACAGAACGCAGTTCCTGGGACTTCAACACCGCGAATCAACGTAACTGTTACACCCGCATAATCCTGAATCCTTCCAAAACACAACTTCTGGTACGCTGATCATGACAATCCGTGAACCTCTTGTAACTGTTAACAAAACGAATGTGCGCGTCGCTTAAGCGAGAACCGCGTTTAGAAAAGGGGCCGCCATCAATCCGTAAAACTCTTGCGGATTTTTAACACGAGTGTGCGCGGCGCTAATGCGAGAACCACATTTTGAAAACGACCCGCCCTCAGTCCGTAAAGCTCTTGCAAGTTTTGGCAATGAATGTGCGCGGCGCTGCGGCGAGAGCCAAATTTTGAAAACCAGCCGCCCTCAATATGTGAAGCAGTCGCCACTTTTCAAGATTCAGGGTCATTGATGGTGAGGAACTTCCAGGCGAAACGCCCAGCACGCCTTAAAAACTGGCCTCGGGGTGCGACAGGGGGAAATTAGTGATACGGAAAAGAGATGGAGGCGGATGAGGAGGAGGAGGGGGGGAAGGAGGAGGAGGAGGAGGAGGAGGAGGAGGAGGAGGAGGAGGAGAGGAGGAGGAGGAGGGACGAGGAGGAGGAGGATGAGGAGGAGGGAGGGAGGAGGGAAGAGGAGGAAGAGGATGGATGAGGATGGATGGGAAAGAGGAGGAGGCGGAGGAGGAAGAGGAGGAGTAGGAGGAGGGGGGGTGGGACGAGTACGAGGAGGAGGAGGAGGAGGAGGAGGAGGAGGAGGAGGAGGGGAGGAGGAGGAGGAGGAGGGGGAGGGGGAGGAGGAAAAGGAATAAGAGGAGGAGGAATAGGAGGAGGGCGAGGAGGAGGAGGAGGAGGAGGAGGAGGAGGAGGAGGAGGAGGAGGAGGAGGATGCGGCGAATGAGGATGATAATGAAATGGAGACTGAGTGTGAAAATGCGGCTGATGATGACGATGAGAATGCTGCTGCTGATGATGCTGATGGTGCTGATATTGTTGATGATGCCGATGATGACGATGAGAATGCTGCTGATGATGGTGGTGATGCTGCTGCTGATGATGATGAGGAGGGGGAGAAGGAGGGGGAGGATCAGGAGGAGGAGGGGGAGGAGGAGGAGGAGGAGGAGGAGGAGGAGGAGGTGGAGGGGGAGGAGGAGGAGGAGGAGGAGGAGGAGGAGGAGGAGGAGGAGGAGGACGAGGGGGAGGAGGAAAAGGAGAAGGAGGAGGAGGAGGAAGAGGAGGAGGAGGAGGAGGAGGAGGAAGAGAAAAGGGAGGAATGAGAATGGGGGGAAAGACCTTTCCCTGGGTGGCTTGAGCCACCAGTGCGGCAACTCTCGTCCCGCACGCCGCCCTGCCGCTCTGTGGTGACGAAACCGGGCGGTGCGCCGCGGAGGGGGCGCGCGACAGGTGGGAGACGGGAGTTGGAGAAGAAAGACCCCACCGTCAGCGAGCTGATCAGACCTGCCGGGGAATATTTCCGCTTAGTACAATTACCAATACATCGTACAAGAGGACATGCAAAGGCAATCCAATTCGTATGACAAGTCGACAGACTTCAAATGAGCTCATAATTTGTATGGCTACTTTGAACACGCATTTTAAACAGTGGCTTCGCGGACTCATACATTGAATCTACAAATACCTCTTGTGCGACTGCTTCACGGACTCATATATATGAAAACCTCTCTCGCGCAGTGGTCTAGCATGCGGCCGCTACCTACTTCCAGGACCATGCGCGGGGCACGCTGCCGATTGCCGGCGGTGGCGCGCCCGCTGCCTTTGACGTGGTTCCAATGCCAGCTCTGCTCATGCGCGTCTGCTTTTCCGGAGCCGCCGCCGAAGGCGTAGACTTCGACTTCGAGATCGGCTTCCGGACCTTCTTGTTCAAGGTGCGGTTGGCCCGCTTCCGCGCGAGCTGGGCCGTGTTGCTTGCCTTGCGCTGAAGAACCGGGGCCCTCAAAAGCGGGAGCTCTTCATGGGGTTGCACAGCAGCTCGAGACAGCAGCGCCCCGTCCAAGTCTGGCACGTCCTTGATGAAGAAATCTGAACGGAGCTCTTTAAGCACGAAACCGTTCTCGAGCATCAGCGAAAACATGCCGGTGCCAACCTTCCGGCGGACCATCTCCTGCAAGATGCCAAGAGGCTCGTCCCTATCCGCGCTGACCTCGAAACTTGTGCCTGCAAGAGAGTTCGTGCAGATGACCCGGAAACGGTCGTCATCGGACTTGTCGACGTCAATCTTGAACACCTTCACCGGGTCGGTCGTGCCAGCTTCGCCAGCAGGGGCCGGCGGCGCGGGCGGCGGAGGCCGCTGGTCCTCGGCAGCCCTGCGGCGCTCCATATCACGGCGCCACGTCATCCAAGTGGCGACCTTTGCACGGACGTCGGCCCGCAGACGGGCGGATCCAGCTGGGCCAGACACCTCGCCACGACTGTCCCCATCCCGTCTTGTTGGGTGCGCCTCGGTGCGCAGACGCTCCCGGATAACTTCTGCCTTGTTCAGCTGCTGCTTTCGGAGGTCCTGGAGCAGCAGCCGCCTCTCCGCCTGCGCCGGAGGCCAGGCGCTCGAAACCGCGGGCGTTGTCCAGCACGGCCGCAAGAACCGCCGACTCTACCGCCCGCTGGCGGGCAGTAAGCATGGCTGCCGACGTGGACGAAAACGAAAACGAAGTAGAAATGACCTTAACCATGGATGCCCGGATCGATCCATTGCTAAACTGATCAACGTGCACACCGAACAGACGACCGACGAGGTAGAGGAGCTTGTTGTGGCCGAGCGCCTTCGTAAAGGCGTCTCCGATATTCTCGGTTCCGGGGGTGTGCTGGGGAACTATACCACACTCGTGCAGAAACAGGAGGGAAATCTCAGCGTGTTTCAAGTGCCCTAGCTTCTGGGAATATCCCTTGCGGATGGCCTGCTCCACGGCCTGATTATCCAGGCGCCCGGTAATCTCCACAGGAGTCGGGCGAGTATCCTCGACCATGGCTGCTAATCGGATTGCATGTTTTGCTGTGGTAGCCCACGCAAGGGACTCACTCTCTCCACTGCTGGTGGTTGTGACGTCTTGCCGAACCGCTCCCCATGACAAGGGGTACTGCGAGCCCTTTGGGCCAGCCAGTTCAAGATAGTAGCCTGTGGTACTCTTGGGCGCATTGAAATCCGCATCAGACCAAGCGTGGAGGGCAATATCGTACCAGCTGTCTCCGGCGTTCAACATGACAAGACATAATGACTAAGTGAACAAGAGGTATCCCGCCAGGTGGGAAGTTCCCCCTCAGCCCAAACACACCACCTGTCGACGTAGCGGGCAATGCGGCCTACAGCGAAGGATACGTCCGGACGAATACAACGAGCAGCATAGAAAACTTCACCGATTATCTTGCGACGGCCCGTGCCGGCCTCCGCCGGAGGAAGATCATCCGCACGAGGTGGAGGTGTTTGCTGTGCTGGAGTCGTGGCCGGCCGTGCGGACGATCCAGTGACGGCCTCCCAGTCGCGGACAATTCGCATGCAGTAGTAGTCGGCCTGAGATATTGTAATCACCATGCCAGTCCTGCCATCTTCCAGGGTCATGCGACGAGGAAGGCTGCAAATGCATCCCAAAAACCTCTGGACTACCTCAGGATCCGTGGACGCAAACATGGTACAAATAACGGTCCAGATGCTTTCGCGATTGCGTTTTTGTGCATCGAACTCACAATCGTCAGCGTATGTTGCCATGGTGCTGCAATGCTTGGAGCTTCTGTGATGCCGGTGCTGTGGGGCAATACTCTGCTGCCAGACGGAATGCCAAAATGGCATTTCAGACGGAGCCTGGGTGCTGAACGGGTTCCGGCCAGCACGAAATCCAGAGTCGACCCAAGTCTTAAGCTGCACGGCCTTCTGGATTGCTGTGCGGTCCTGGTCACCGTGCCAACGGTAGAAGACGGCTGGTTCTTCTTCCATGGCCTTCCATCTGTTCCATAACAACCACATCGTGAATGAGGTGATGAAGTCTGACCCTGACCGTTGGAGGCCATACAAGGCACGCTTCAGCCAACGATCCTCCTCCTCCTCTTCCTCCTCCTCCCTCCTCCTCCATCCTCCTCCTCCTGCTCCTCCTGCTCCTCCTGCTCCTCCTGCTCCTCCTCCTCCCTCCTCCTCCTTCCTCCTCTTCCTCCTCCCTTCTCCCTCATACATTCTCCCTCCTACCTTCTCCCTCCTTCCTCCCTCCCCCTCCTCGCTCCTCCCTTCTCCCTCTTCCCTCCTCCTTCCTTCCTCATCCCTTGCTCCTTCCTCCCTCCTCCTCCCTCCTCCGTCTCCTCCCTGCTCCCTCTCTTTCCTCCACTTTTCCATCTCCTCCCTGTCTTCCCGTTCCTCCCTTTCCTCCTTGTCCTCCTCACCCTCCTCCTCCTCCTCCTCCTCCTCCTCCTATTCCTCCTCTCTCCTCCTTCTCCTCTGCTCCTGCTCCTGCCCCTGCTCCTGCTCATCCCCCTCCTCCTCCTCCTCCTCCTCCTCTCCTCCTCCTCATCCTTCTCCTCCTCATCCTCCTCCTCCTATCCTCCCTCCTCCTCCTTCTCTTCCTCCTCCTGCTCGTCCTCCTCTTGCTCCTTCTGCGGCTCCTCCTCCTCGTCATCATCCGCCCCCCCTCCTCCTCCTCCTGCTCCTCCTCCTCCTCCTCCTCATCATCATCATCAGCAGCATCATTATTAACATTATCATCCTTATCCTCCTCCTCCTCCTCCACCTCCGCCTCCTCCTCCTCCTCCTCCTCCTCTCCTCTCCCTCCTCCTCCTCCACCTCCTCGGGCAACTACCTCGAGCATCCCCAGAGCAGTTGAATCGAGCTCCTGGAACAATTCAACCGAACTTCCTCGGAACAGTTCAATCAAAATCTCCGAAGCGGTCCAGTGCAGTTAAATCGAGCTTCCTTGGAGCAACTAAATCGACCCACCCCGAGAGCTGTTAATCCGGGCCCTCGGGGCAGTCAAAACGGACCCCCATCATCAGACATACCCACCACCACCACCTCCACCACCACCATCATCATCATCATCATCATCATCATCATCATCATCATCATCATCATCATCATCATCATCATCATCGTCATCACCTTCATCATCATCATCATCATCATCCTTATCCTCATCCTCATCCTCATCCTCATCATCATCCTCATCGTCATCATCATTGTGCATCGTCGCCAACTCGTGAGCGCATAGCCAGCATCGTCACAATCACAATCATCACAGTTGCCATCAGATGGTTCTTCCCCCAAACCTCATTCTCACCCGACGTCTGGTCGTATAGGTACATGGAGTATGTCCTGTTCAAAGCAGGTGTCTAGTAAACATCTGGATCTTTCACCTTCGTCTTGCTGTCATTTTCCAAGCAAGGCGTCAACAACTGGCCAACAAGGAGTGATATTCCAGCGCGCAGTGCGGTTCGGCAATATTGGATTGGATTTGCGCCCGCAAAATAAGGCGGGACGCGAAGCATACTCGATGATGGGTACATGCCGGTTTTGCTTACAGAGGCAGCAGAAAGGCGTAAAAGCGCTCTCTCGACGGCCTCCCAGTCAATTATTAGGAGAAAGCGCTCTTGCGTGCAAAGGGCCAGGATGTGATCTGAAATCGAATCGTAACATGCTCCCGAATGGGCCGTCGCGGCTGCAGTATGGCAGCCAACCTTGTGCCAGTGCAGACAATGCAGGCCCATTGACTTCGATTGCACCGAGTGGGCCCGACTGAAGATCCGCAGTCTGGAGTTCAGTGCTCAAGCAATCTCTGGGACAACTGCGTGCTTCCTCGCCACGCTGTCTCGGCTACGACGCTGAACAAGCACGCCTGAGCTCGCAACGAGCACTGTCTGGCCGGCCCTAGAAAAGCAAGTGGTGCCTCTCCCTCCTCCCTCGCCCCTTCCCTCCTCCTCGTTTCCGCCTCCCTCCGTCTTCCTCCCCTTTTCCGTCTGCTTCCGTCCTCGTCCTCCCTGCTCTTCTCCTTCATCCTCCGCCCTCCCTCGCCCCTTCCTCCTCTCCCGTGCCTCTCCCCGTCGCCGTGCAATGTAGTCCGCGGAGGCGGACGGGTGAGCAGAACGAAGGGGCAAGAGGAAGAGGGGGAGAAACAGGGGTCATGAGGAGAGGGGGAGGATGAGATTGAGCGGGGGAGGGGGTGCGCCCTGCTTCTCCTCCTCCCCCCTCCTGATCCTCCTTCTCCTCCTTCTCTCCCGCTCCTTCCTCCCGTCGCGTGCCTTCATCTCCAGAATAGCGCCCAGCAGCCACACGAAGCAGACCCACGGGGAGGTCGCTGCAAACAGCGTGGCGAGACCATGACAGATCATGAACTCCTCGAACTCCTCAAGGCAGTCACTCTTGCACAGTGGAGTGAAGATCGGAATCTGCGAGCGAGAACGGCACGACCCAGACCACGACATCGGTGCCGGCTTCGGTTCGTGTCGTGTGTGCTGGCACGGCGAGCCTGCGCGAGGGCAACAGGGGTTCTGCCCTAGCTAAGGGCATGCCGCATCAAATCGTGCCTCGCCTCTGGCGCGTGGCCACCAGCTTGTCCCGTGTGAATGGCCTGGCCGTGCCGTGGCTGTCCCGCGGCTGCCCCAGTGCGGGCGTCCAATTTTGTCCCGCACTGGGTCGACAGCGAGCTAGTTAGACAGGTCGACATCACCCCAACCAGGCACGCATGTAGACATATAGTACATTGTATCGGCGTAGGGGGAGTTTTAGGGTTAGCTTGCATGCATCACTATAGCTAGACAATTGGGCAAGTAGCTATACAAGTGGACAATATCGTATTCACCATGAGGTCGTCAATGATTTCACCACTCACTACTTGGTGGTATAGCCATACAGCTAGTCATTTAAATTCTTTCTTGGGCATGCAGCGTGATTGTACAACAGTGCAACAACATGTGTAATCATACTCTTTATATAGGGAGTTCGACATTTATCAGTCGGATCGTACGTTTTCGGCGGGGAGCTATATCGATACTTGGGTAGGAAAAGGATAATTATGAACTAGGCCACTCGTATGTGTGTGTATATATATATATATGAATGCACACTATCCGCTATCGTGACCCGAGGCACGCCAGGGGCGTCTTGTTGAGGGCATTCTCGAGATTCTTGGGGCCTCTCGCTATATTTCCCAACCCTCCTCGGTTGGTTATTCGCTTTGATTAGAACAGTGCTCGCACGTCCTTCCTTCCTCCCGCCTCCTCCCTCCTCCCCCTGCCTCCCTCTTGTCTCCTCTTGCCTTGTGCGGACCTCGCCATCCCTGGAGGGTTGCGATCAACGATGCTGTCGCCACTTTCAAGAGCTGCTGGCGAAGCCAGCAGGGTGGGCACTCACCGCGGATTACAATTAGACTTCGCCGCCCCTGGGGGGCTGCGTGCTGCGAGCTGTCCCCACTTTCGAGGGCTGCTGGGGAGGCCAACAGAGAGGGTGTTCACCGCGGGTCCAAATTAGACCTCGCCATCCCTGGGGAGCTGCAATCTGCGGAACTGTCGCCACTCTCGAGGGCTGCTGGGGAGGCCACCAGAAAAAGGGTACTCACCGCGGATCCAAATTCGACCTCGCCATCCCTGGAGTGCTGCGATCTGCGAAACTGTCGCCGCTTTCGAAGACTGCTGGGGAGGCCAGCAGAGAGGTACTCACCACGGATCCAAATTAGACCTCGCCATCTCAGGGGGGAGCTGCGATCTGAAAGACTGTCGCCGCTTTCGAGGGCTGCTGGGGAGGCCAACAGAGAGGGTGCCCACCGCGGGTCCACATTCGACCTCGCCATCCCTGGGGGGCTGCGATCTGCGAGACTGTCGCCACTTTCAATGGCTGCTGGGGAGGCACTTCTCGCTGGTATCCATTATCCAATGTGATGTTAAGCTTCATTGTTGCAAGATCTCCGGCCGATGCTTGGCACCCTGAACTATAGCTCAAGGCCTACCGTGAAGTGGTAGTGCTCCTACTCGAGCTCAAACAGCTTGAGCCAAAACTTCTATGGGAGCCTCTTGGGCGTTTTTTATGTCTTGGGGCCTCTAGGGGCGAGCTTGAGGCCTCAGCAGCCCAGGGCAGGCGAAAAGGCGAGAAGGCACAAACCGATGATTTCCCATAGGTGTCCGAAGATGTTCTGGTTTGTCAGAGGTGTCCTGGAGAGTCTCCTGAGGTCATCTGGGCTGTCTTGGGCGTCCCTTGGGGCGTCTGGAGCCTCTCTAGAGCCGTCGGGGACCCCTGGAGGCCGTCCTGGGGGTGACTCGGGGCCGTCCTGTGCAGGTGGTTGCTGTCTCACCATTCTCGGAATCGACTTTGAAGCCCCGTTGGGGTCGTCTTGGGGCTTCTTAGGGCCTCTTGAGGGCGAGCTTGAGGCCTCAGCAGCACATCGGAGGCGAAAAAGCGAGAGTGCACACATCGATGATTTCCCATATGTGTTCGAAGTTGTTCTGGTCTGTCAGAGGTGTCCTGGAACGTCTCCTGAGGCCCTCTGGGGCTGTCTTGAATGTCTCTCGATCTTGAGGCTCCGTTGGGGTTGTCTTGGGGTTTATTGGGGACTCGTGGGCGCCTTGTTGGGGTCTCTTGGGAGCGAGCTTGAGGTCTCAGCAACCCCTCGGAGACGAAACGGCAAGAAGGCACAAATCATTAATTTTCCAGGACGGGTTGTCAAGGTTTTGGGGTTGTCGGAGGTTTCCTGGAATCTCCTGAGGTCCTCTCGGTCTGTATTGAGCGTTTCTTGAAGCGTCTTGAGCGTTTCTTGAAGCGTCTGGAGCCTCACTGAAGCCCTTCGAGACCCGTCTAGACTGTCTTCCGCGTGTCTCCGGGCCGTCCTGGGTCGCCTGGACGGCGCTCTGCCCCCCGCGGGAGCGATTCTGGGCGCCCCACAGGAGCGCCCAGCCCCTGGGCCTCGTGTTTGCGGTCTAGGCTCTGGCTTCGGCCCCCGCTGGCCCGGCCCCGCTGTAGATCTGCCGCCGTGCCCTTGAGGCACGAGCTGGGGTGCCAAACCGGCCGGGGCGCGCCGCGTGGCCCCTGGGGGGCGCGTCGCGGCTTCTCGCGGGATTTTCTCGTCCCCGAGGGGGCCTCCAGAGGGGCCAAGAGGGCCCCAAGAGGCCCCCGACTCGGTCGAAGAGGGCCCCGAGTCGCCGAAAGAGCGTGGCATCACTTTTGACACACCTGGCTCTTTGCAAAGCGGGCAAACCTTGCACTCGTGAAGTCGTGGGCAACCTCGAGCCAGTCTGGCTCTTGGGCTGTCTCGAGCCAGTCTGGCTCTTGGGCTGTCTCGAGCCAATCTGAAGAGGCGACTGGGCCGTCTTAGTTTTCAGAAACTCATATGAGGGCGAGAACGCGAAACTTATGTTTTTTACTGTAGCTTTTGTCGATCGAGACCCTCTTTGGGGTCCTGCCGATGGGGCGCAATGGGCTGTCCTGGATGTGTCTGGGCGCCATTGTGCCATCTTTGGCAGGCCATTGCCATATTCGGGGTCTCTTGGCGTCGCGTTCAGGCCGTCAACGGCCATTTTCACCCATCTCGAAGCTGAAATAACACCCCCCAAAAGCCGAAAACGGGCCCTGGACCTGGCGCTGAATTCGGTTACCGTGTGTGTGTGTGTGTGTGTGTGTGTGTGTGGTGTGTGGGGGGAATTTCCAAAAAGCGACGGGCCCCACGCCTGGGCCAACAACATCCTGGGCGCATCGCGGCGGCTTCTTGGGTCCTCTTGTGCCGTTGTGGCGTGTCGTGGCGCAGAAATATTATTGATAAATGCCTTGGCCACCTCCAGCCGTCGTTGGCCCGGCGTAGACCCTCTGGAGTGTGTTGGGGATATCTCGGGGCAGTTTCGGGCACCGCTTTGGGGTTTCTGAAGGGCTTCTTGGAACCGTTTTGGAGCTGTAGTGGGGGGCCCTCGGGCCGCCTTGGCGCCCTCTGGGCCATCTTGGGCCCCTCTGGGCCGCCTGGGACGACTCTCGGTGTCGTCTTGGGGCCGTCTTGACCCCATCTTTGGCAATCGTGCGCCGTCCTCTCCAGGAACCATGTTTGGGGATCTTGAGGCCGTCTTGGGCCGTCTTTGGCTATTATTGGAACGTTGTTGGCGCCCCTTTGGGTTATCTTTGGGTCATCCTGGGTGCCGTATGGGCCGTCTCGGACGCTCTGAAGACGAGTACACTAGAAACAATGAAACCACATAGGGAACTCAATGATTTCAACCTCTCGGAGGCATCGTGGATGTACTTTTGGAGCGTCCTTGGCGCATCCTGGGCCGTCTTGGAGGTGTGTAGAAACGATGCTGGCGCCATATTGGGCATGTCTTGCCCTTCTTGGCGGTCTCCAAACGCTCTTTGGATGTTGAAATTGTGACTTCGACTGCTCTTGAAGCGGGAATCCCCCCCCCCCCCAGAGCTCCGAAAAAAAGCTTAGACCCCGGGGGCTAAATCGGGTACCCAAAGGGTGGACCCATCTGTCAGCGTGTGCCGGCGGAGGGGGTGCGCTGGGCTGCGTACAGTGCAACAGTTGCGCGCTGTCGAGGCCACATTCCCTTGCAAATCACAGCGTGTGCGCGCTCCTGACGCCACAGTCTCCCGCACATTACGTCAAGGTTGCGTCCCCGAGGCCAGGAGACCACCCCACGGAGGCTGCCCCAAAAACGCCAGCCACACCCCTCCTGCAGAGCAGAAAACTTACATGTTCTGTACTTGGATGTGTTCGGTGGGCGTTTTTCGCCTTCCCCGTCGTTTCCTGGGAATTCGGCTCTTGACCTGAGACCATGAATCCAACACACATTTCTAGGGGTGCGCGCTCTCGAAGCCGCGAACCCTGGTACATTGCAATGGAACCGTGCTGCCGAGGTCACCATCCCCAACTCATTACTAACACACGCACGCAACCAGCCATCGGGGAAACGGCCCAACTCATCTACAAACCATCAATTTAGACAGCAAGGCAATCAGCCGAGCTGCCAGCTAGGCAATCTACAAGACAACCAACCAGCCTATCTATCAAGTTTGGTTATGCAGGCAGACTAAAAGGGGAGCGGCGGCAGAGGGCGAAGCCTATCAGAACATGATTCAGATACGTGAGCACGTTGTTGTACAGATGGACCCATCATCACACATGTATGCTTACACATACACGGTTGCAACTCGATATATACACGGCTGAATGAAAACACATGGGTCATGCCATAAACATGGGTCATGCCATGGATGGGTTCTTGAACTTATTCAATGATGGGCCATGCTGTGCACATGGAATTCGACCACCGCGCGCTTGATATGCTTCAATGAATATGGGAAGGAACCCGATCTTGCAATCGGCGCTGCACGGACAGGGCATCTTCCTGCAAGGAGTGGGGCGAGGGCGGAACAATACAGGTAGAGCTTTTGGTGGTCGGGGCCCTCTCCCTGCACCCAAACACTCAGGGCCTCCGCGCAACCCGCATTTGGTGTGATGTGGTCCACCCCCCGCATGAATGCTTTAAAAAGGGCCGTGGTTTAGGCCATCGGGAGGTCAAGGTACAATCGGATGCACCCAAGAGGCGGGCCAGGAGGATTGAGGTTAATTCGCACATCATGGCCCGAGGCCTGTGCTCGGACGAGGGGAGTGGGGAGGCCAGGAACGTGTCTAAATGATAATAAGAATGAGCTGTGACACCTGGGAGATTTCATAGCCACGGCCATGATACCCCCTAGTCCTCATGATAGCTCGATTGCTCAAGACACACACACATACATGTATACATATATATATATATATATGTACATCTACATTGTGTCGGGAATGTTGAGTTTGGTAATTCGTTCAGGCTATAAACGGGTTCGATACCTGGTCAACCATGTAAACCGACCGTGCGTCCGTTAGATCATTGGATGATGGCGCAGGCAGTTTGCAAATGCGGCTAGTGCCCTCCCAACCGCCTTGTTGCTGCGATTCCCAATCGAGCTCCCAATATATGTGAGCCTGGAAAGAAATCGGTACCAAATTCCATGCCAGGCACCATCTCGACCGATTTCCCGAGCCGCAGCACAACCATCCCAATCATGCATGCGGCAGCAAATAGGACACGTCTGCAATCAAGCCGCTGCACCATGCAAGCGGCAAGCGGCTCGCCCGTCCTCGAAAGCGCTGAAGCAATCCAAGTTCGCCTGCACAATCCCCGTGCTGCCCCCGTCCTCCAGTTCCGCTCTCGTGGCTGCTATCTCAACCACCCCTTGCCCTCCGCCACCAGGTTCTATACCCGCAGGGGGCTTACTTCCAAAGGCCACCTAAAAACTCGCATCGCAGAGGGCCGAACGGTCCTTTCGGCCCTCCGCCATGCGAATTTGTTGAATCATCTTCCAAGCCCGTCCCAAAGCAGCAAACTGCCGCTTCCAAGGCAGCAGGCAGCCGCTGCCTCCGCCATTGCCTTGCGGCGCAGAGGTGCAGGAGAAGGCGGACGGAGGGTCTGCGTGCAGGGGGGAGGACAGGAGCGGACACTCGACAGGCAGTATTCCCCGAGGACTTGCCATTTTGCTGCGACGATGGGTGGCCCCGAAGTGGATGGACCAGACGGTCGGGCCCTGTCCCCGCGTATACAGTTGGTATGGGTAAGACTTGCTTGCCCTCCGTACATGGTCTTGGTAAGTGTCTGTGCCTTTTCCAAAATCATCCCGTCCTCGCTCTGGAAAAGGCAGCGCCCCGCGTCAATCCTTCCTCCTCGCCCCCCTCCTCCCTACTCTCATCTCTGCCCCAGCCGTCCGCATGCCAATTTTTGCGCACTCTCGCAAGCTTCGTGGCCCCATCGGAGGGGCCCAAGTGCTCCCATGGGGGGGGGGGGTATAGTGCCGCCTGCTCATTTCGGCACACCCTTCACACGCTTCGTGGCCTCATTGTGAGCCCCCCCGACGCCCCGAGAGGGGGGACGCATACTGTACTCCCGTTCATTTCGGCACACCAATCAACAATTTCGTGGCCCCTATCGTGGCGTCTGATACCCTTTCCCCCCGATCATTTCGGCACACCTCTCACGTGTTTCGTGGCCCCGTGAAGGTTCTCCACCGAAGCCACCGCGGGGTGTTGCCTTATAGAGTTCCCCCTGGCCCTTTTTCCGGCCCACCCCTCACGTGTTTCGTGCCCCCCAAGGTGCTCCACCTGGTGGGTGCGTCCACACGCGGCTCCCCACCCGATGTCCCCGCACTCCTCGCACATTCCGCGGCCCCACAAGGAGTTCCCCTCCGTCGTCCCGCCTGCCTTGCGGTCCTCACACTTGCATCTGGTAAGGTCCTCTGCCAGGAAGCTTTTGTGACCCCCCATATCGTCCCAACGCGTAAGACACTGCCAGCAACTCCATCTCAACATTTCCACAGCGTCAGCCACACCATACAACCACCCCAGACTTTCAAACATCGAACGCGGAGGCAACATCATGTAGCCCATCTGCACTTGCGCATCCCCCCCGCCCAACACGTCCTGCCCTCCAAAACATGTCCGCTGGTGCTCCGACTCGACCTTCCACTTGCTCCTAGTCTCCTCAGCGCCTTTACCTCCCTCCCTCCCTCTCTCTTTCTGCTTTTTTTTTGTTCTCTCTCTCTCTCTCTCTACCTCTCTTTCTGTCTCTTTCGGTGTGTGTGTGTATACGCATACACACGCAGACCAAGACCACGCGCGCGCTTCGCGCGCGCTTACCTGGTAGGTTCTGGTTGAGGTCCCAAACATTTGCGACGCACGGAGCCTGATGACTGCGAACTTCATTGAGGCTCGTCCTCGTTCTAAATGAACGTCCTCGTCGTCGTCATTGTCTTCGTTCCTCCTTCTCCTCTTCCTCCTCTTCGGCCCCTGCCTGACACTGGACCCTGTTCCGTTGGACCCCTGGACCTGACTCCATTGAGGGGCGCATTCTGACTTGCACATCGAGGAGCCCGTTTGGAAGAGCAGCGGTATCAGTATTTGTGTCTCCGCTGACGACCTTCTCATCACCGCCATCACCATTATCACCATCGTGAACATTTTCATCATCATCGTCATCTTCAGCGCCATCGTCATCGCCATGATCAGCGTGGTTGTACGCGCTCCGAAAAAGCGCGGCCAATATGTGCATGATCAGCATTGCACATGTCGTCACCATCATCATCATGTAGCCTGCATCATGTTCATCATCCTCGTGATCGCCGGCATCATCATAATCATCATCATCATCCTCGTCATCTCCATCGTCATCGTCATCGTCAGTTTACGTGCTTCGGGGAAGCGTGTCTGGTGCACGTGCAGTGGGGGCTGGTGGGCATGTCCATCATCAGCATCACCACCATCATCAGCATCATCATCATCGTCATGAACAACATCGTCAGCATTGTCAACGTCATCGCCGTCGTCATCGTCATCGTACTTACGATTCCGGAGAAGCGTTTCTGGAGCACGTGAAATGGGGGCTGGCGGGCATCTCCATCAGCATCATCATCACCATCATCATCGTCGCCATCGTCGCCATCATCATCATCACCACCATCATCATCATCATCAACATCATCACCATCACCATCACCATCACCATCACCATCATCACCATCATCATCATCATCATCATCATCATCATCATCGTAATCATCATCGTAATCATCATCGTAACCATCATCGTAATAATCATCATCATCATCATCATCATCATCATCATCATCATCATCATCATCATCATCATCATCATCATCATCATCATCATCATCATCATCATCATCATCATCATCATTCCGAATGCAATCATCATCACCATCATAATCATCATCGTCGTCATCATCATCAATATCGTCATCGCCATCATGGTCGAAATCCTTTTCGTCCGTCATGGAACTGTTCTGGGCCGTCATGGGGGGCTCTGGGCGTGAGTGGGTTTTCATGGGGGTGTCTTGGGGCCACGTGGAAACGGTCTTGGGAGCCTCGAAGGGCCCTCTTGGGCAGTCGTGGGGCCCTCTTGGGTTGTTTCGGGGCTCTTGGAAGGTTGCACTGGGCTTCTTGTGGCGTCTTGGAGGCACCCAGGGCTTTTCAAAGGCTGTCCTGGGCGTCTTGGCTCGCTATTCTGGTGAGGGGGGGCCTCTCTGAACCATTTTGGACAGGTCTCGGGGGCTTCGCGGCGGGTGAAAAGGGGCGCTCCGTTTGGGAGACGTCTCGGGGGCTTCACGCCGGCTTCGTGGGTCGTCTTAGCAGCGTGTGGGGCCGTTTTCCGCTTGGTGGGAGCGAGCTCGAGGCAGGTTGGGACCCGTCACAAATCGTTAAGAGCTCGTCGTGCAATGCATGCTCTTTGGGAAGGCTTTTGGCGGCTTCTCGTGGCGTCTGGGAGGCATCCTAGGCTGTCTGACGGCTGTCTTGGGCGTCGGGGTGGCATCCCTGGATTGCGTTTGGCATTCGGGGGGGCCGGTTGGCGGCTTCGGGGGCCCTCTGGAGGCCATCTGGGGCTGTTTTCGGGTCGTGTTCGAGGCCTCAGGGCAATTTCAGAACGAAGCGGAGGGCGTCAGGGGCCGCTCTGGAATACACTGGAGCTGGATACGCGCACGCGTGAACGTCCTGCAACAACCCTAGTGTAATTCATGGAATTCGGCTTGGGGGCCCTCTTGGGCAGATCTTCGGCGGATTCTTGGGGCCTCTTGGAGGGATCGTGGGCTGTCTGGAGGCTGTCTTGGGTTGCTATTCTGGCCTGGGGGGGGGCTCCCGGGCTTCCTGGATCGTGTTGGGCACGTCAGACGGGCTGGTTGGCGGCTTCGTGGGCTGCGTGACGGCTGCCCTGGGCGTCTCGGGTCGCTACTTTGGTGGGCGGGGGCCGCTCTGGGCCCGTCCGGGGCAGCTCGCGGAGGCCCGGAGCGCCCGTGGCGACGCGGGGCCCTGGCAGCTGGCGGGGCGCGGACAAGGCGCGCAACTGTGCAGCCCTGGGCGTCCTGGAGAACGACCCGGCCGGAGAGGGGGAGGATGGGGGGGAGGAGGGGGAGGAGGAGGAGGAGGAGGAGGAGGAGGAGGAGGAGAGGAGGGAGGAGGAGGAGGGGAGGAGGAGGGAGGAGGAGGAGGAGGAGGAGGAGGATGCACATATTTCCTGAGGCCAGAACAGATGATTCTCGCAGGGCAGCATGCAACTCGAATGCGACCGGACGCGAGCCAGCCTCTTCGAGCTAGCTCAAATCTTGCCGCAGCTTACGCACTAGATATACATCTAGACTGAATAGGCACGCAGTGGGATGGCTTAGGGCCCGAGAAAAACCGCTTGAGCCGAGGTGAGTACGGCCAGGCGGGAACTATTAGCATTGCACGCTCTGTGACACTCCGCGGGCTCTGTTTCACAACGCTGCTACATGCACATATTTCCTGAGGCCAGAACAGATGATTCTCGCAGGGCAGCATGCAACTCGAATGCGACCGGACGCGAGCCAGCATCTTCGAGCTAGCTCAAATCTTGCCAACAACCGCCACTATATGCGATCTGGCGGTTGAGGCGGCACCTTCTCCAAAAGCGACTCGTGAATTAGTTGTGACCATTGCTGCAGCAAGCGGGGCGGATAGGGCTCGGCGACTTGTGTCCACAGGCGGCCTCCAGGAGCCTTGCCCTCGAGGACCTGATGTGGTTTCTTGGAAAAGACACACACGGCACTGGCACACTGAGCGGCGACCGGCGACAACAATCCCTTTTTGTTGTCCCAGCACGCTAGGGTGGTCTCCTTCCGCCACGGCATTCCATATTTACAATAGACTGTGTGCGTGAGGGACGCATGGCGCAACAGGCGTGCCAGTCCGGGCTGCCTCCACAGCCAGGACCTACGCGGATTCTCCAACGACACTGGCACTTGATGACGGATACAAGCTCTGATGATACGAACTGTGGTTCGCAGCAGCTGATTGCCTACCCGGACCTTTTCGGCGTCAGCTCCTGAAAGGCTTGGGAGACCGCAGGGAAACTGGCAGGAGCGCAGCGGGCCCCCTGGAGAGCCAGGCTTGCCTCGGCGCGCTCCTGAAAAACTTGCGCACGGCGTGCCAAGGTGGACCCATCTGGCCTGCGGCACAAGCTTTAGCACCGCACGAATGGATTTCTCTTTGCTCAAGTCCTGTGAGGCACTATCTCTGATGTCCCATGTGCGGGCCCTCCAGCCCCGCTGCTGCAGCGAAGCCGAGAGCCCTCTTTTTCCTGAAAAAAGCTCCAAAACTAGCGGCCTGGCACGTGCACCAGGCTCAGACGAAGTCACACGAGGCCTACGTCCCGGAGCAGCCGCGCGAAGCCGTCGGTGCGCCCGTCCTTCAGGGCGCCCTCGAGCAGCCGGTCGGCCTCGGCCAGCAGCAACTGCCGGCCGCGGTCGAGCGAGGCCAGGCGGCGCATCACCCTGGAGCCCTTCTCGTAGCGCCTGACGCTGAGGTCGGACGCCCAGCGGCCCCGGCGCTTGATGGCCTCCAGGCTCCTTGCCTTGGTGAGCCAATCGTGGGACGGCCCGGAGTGGCGAAGGATGTACGGCGTCAACTCCCAGCTCTCGAGCCCGACGAGAGCGGCTGCCTCCTTGAACATGGCATTGAAGGCCGCGCCCGACCACGGAAAGAGGAGCTCCATCGGCTGCGACTGGGATGCGATCTGCTCCAGCAGGGGCCCGACAAAAGACCTTGCGGGGCTGTCGAGCAGGATCGAGTCGTTGAAGCCCCTGGTCTTGGTTGACTGCAGCTCCTCCTCGGGCCTCAACACCAGGGACGTGAAGCGGTAGTCGCCCCCGGCATGCGGCTGCGCCGGCACCACGTGGTCCGCCCGGAGGGTCAGCAGCTCCCCTGGGCGCAGGTAGGCGTCCGCCGCGAGCACCACGCCGAGGGCCGCGCGCCGCTGGCCGAGGTAGATCAGGGCCACCGCGATGGCCGCCACCGCCGCCCAAGGCGCCGGCGCCCGCGTCAGCGGCGGCACCAGCCTCCGCCAGCCCTGCAGCGCCCTCGCCACGCGGGGCAGCTTCAGCAGCCTGCCCGCGTGGTGCAGCCTTGGGTCGCGATGCCCTATCGCGGCCAGCAGCTTGGCCCCGCTGTTCGACGGCTCTCCCCGGCTGAACTGCAGCTCCACGTACTCCGCCACGGCCTCCTCCAGCTCGACGTCGCTCGCCGTGGTGAGCCCGTGGGTCCTGCAGAAGACGTCGAACCGCTCCAGCCTCCTCTCGTAGTCCTGCCTCGTCTTCTGGGTGATGCTCTCCTGCTCCAGCGTCGTGAGCCCACCAGTCCCGACCGACCGCGCCCTCGCCGCCTCGATCGCTCGCGCGAACGCCGGTGGGGGAGGGCGGTCGCGGCGGGGCGCACGGGATCGGCGAGACCTCGTCGATGAAAGCAGCCGCCGCTCGGTCGAGGATGCCGGGCCCGCTGCCGCTCTGACCGCAGGGGCTGGGGCAGGCAGACGGCGGGGCGGGGGCCCGTGGCTCTCTGGCAAGGCGCCGCTCCTCCGCAGCACCCTCTCGCGCGGGGGGCTGCCAGGCCCGCGCGCACCATCCCTCTCGGGAAGCGCTCGAGCAGGCCTCGGCGGCCTCTCCAGCGGGCCGGCGTCGCCAGGCGTCCAGCGCAGCAGCAGCCGCCTTCTCAGCAGGCGAGTCGAACCATCGGCTAGGCTCATCAGCTGGGTTAAGCTCGCTGGCCACCCAGCGCACGCTGGTACGAGAGAAGGAGGCCAGCGACAAGGCGGCCCACTTTCTGAGCAAAACCAGCACCGGAGGTGACACCGCTCGGCCCTTCTCGAGGCTCAGGACCATACCCATGTTGTCGCACAGAAACAAATGGCGATGACGATGGTATCTAGCTTGACGACACTTACGCCTCCACCCGAACAGCACGGCCCTGAGCTCCTTAAGATGGATGGCCTCTCTCCTATGATATCTTCTTGCCTGGATGGTCCTCCACGAGCCCTCGCTGATGAACCCCTTGGGGATCTCTGGGAACTCCCGATTGATGCTGATGTCCACGTCCCCGCCGATGAGGTCTCCTAAGAAACCTGCAGGATAGCCTGACTCCTCGCCCCAGCAGCCCCCAGCAGCGGCCCCAGCGGCCCCAGGAGCCCCAGCCGGAGGTAGATCCCGAAGCGCTTGACGACGAGGGGCACCGCTGAGGCCTTCAGGAACCCGTAGAGGCAGAGCTGGGTGTACATGATGTAAACCTTGGGGGCCCATGGGGTCGGCACCTGGGAGCCCCGGCGGAGGAGGAGGTAGAGGTCGCTCGTGTTGACTCTCACCCGAGCGCTCGCGCAGTGCTGCCTCGCGCGGGCGCAAGGCTGACTGGATGCGAAAGCGCCAGCGCTCACTCCAGCGACCGACCTCCCGCACGGCCGACGGCCCCATGTCGGCCTCCTGCACCGCATAGCCGCGCAGCGTGGCATCGGAGCAGGTGACGCGCCCGGACCACGGCAGATCGAACTGGACGGCCAGCAGCGGTATGAGGTGCAGCGCGTTGGCCAGCTCCTGCCGCACCGAGGGCCAGAGCGGCACGGGCGCCCTGTAGTGCTTCCGGGCAAAGTCGTAGGCCGAGCGGAAGACGCACAAAGCGGGGCGATTCAGCAGCATGGCATGCGTGAAATGGCCGATCATCTGCTCGATCTCCCGGCCCGCCACGCGCCGGCGCCGCAGGAGCGCCTGGGTGCCCAGCCCGAGCCTCCAGCGCTTGGCCCGCGCCAGCCGGGCCCGCAGCTTGATGCCATCCAGCTCCAGGCCCAGCGCCTCCACGACCGTCTTGCTCTCCTCGACCTCGTGCAGCGGCAGCCCGGCCTCGGCCATCACCTTGGCCGCCTGCCTCCTCGCACCCCGGGTGGCGCCTGGTCGCGACGAGACGAAGATCTCGTTGTCCACGTAGACGACCCTCGGCACCTGAGGCGAGTCCACGCCCGGAGCGATCTGCCTGTCCACCAGCTCGCTCTCGATGCCACCGAGGCCTCCTCGCCGCAGCAGCTCGCGGTGCGCCTGCTGCGTCCAGCGCATGGCCCACGCGAAGCCCATGGGCAGCACCCGCAGGCATGGGTAGACCCACGCCCCCTCTGAGACCGCGAGGTCGTCGACCACCTTCGCGCCCAGCTGCCTAGCCCTGAGCGGGCGCATGCCGAACCGCGGCACCATGTAGTCCGGCACGCGGAACTGGTAGAAGCAGTCCGCGATGTCCTGGATCGAGAACTCCAGCTGGGCGCCGTCCTCGACCTCCATGTTCACTAGCGCCGCGGTGGACGCCATGTGGATCGTCGGCGGCCGCTTCAGCGCCTGGTTGACAGCCCGAGCGTCCACAATGAGCTTCAGGCGGCCCGACTTCTTCTTCACGAAGAAGACTCCCACTTCAAAATCGCGACGAGTCCGCAGCTCCACCATGCCGCGGTCCAGCAGGTCCTGCACGAACCGCTGGTACTCGTCCGTGTCGGATTGCAAGGTCTTATCCCAGTGCACCTTGGTGGCGCCCGGGCGAACCTCTTCAGCGCGAAGCATCGTCGAATTCTTACCGTCGATCACCTCCTGGCGGTCTGGCTCCGGCAGCACCTCCAGCAAGCTGACGCAGCCCGCCGACTCAGGCCACGAAACCAGGCCGCGATCATACGGCGCAACCACAGTGGGGCCGTCGGGGCCATAGCCCAGACTACCCGTGCCGAGCAACTCCACGAGGGCTGCCTCGGGGCTGGGGGCGTCGTCCGGCGGCTTGTCGTCCGACACGGCCTGCCAGAGCATGTCCACAGCAGAAAATTGTGCCTCCGAAGGACGGGCCTTCGAGCAAAAGTCGCCGACCCCGTGCAGGTTGTTCAGGGCGGCGATGCAGTCATTCACGCGGCGGCCCACAGCAGACCTGCGGCCGATCCTCTGGGCGGAGCGGCGCGGCAACGACCGCGCGCCCCGAGCCGGCGGCGCGGGCACCAAGGGCAAGGGCAGCAGATCCCTCGGCACCATGCGCTCCAGCGGCCTGTTGGCACCGGCTGGGTACGGCCAACTCCCAGCCTCGAAGCCCATCATGACTTCTTTGGAGGAGCGCGCGCCAGAGCACGCTCCTCCGCAGCCTTGCGCTCCTCCTTCAAGATGGCCGAATCCCGGGCCGCGGACTCCGCGACCCACTTCAGCAGCTCCGGGCTGATGATGGCCCCGCCCGTCCTCCTGGTGCGGCCCAGGTAGTAGTCCTGGGAATCGAACTCCTTGATCGTCTCCTTCTTCTTCTTGATCTTGTGCTCCAGGAACTGCAGGTGCCTCGCGAGCGCCTCCATGCTCGCCAGGTTGGCCACGTCGACCTGGTCGTAGGTGCAAGCCATCTCCAAAATCTCCGACAGCATTTCGTGGGCCACCACGCTATGCTCGTCATCGTTGAGCTTGTTCTCGTGCTTCCAAGTGGTGTGGCGCTGGACCGGGCCACCGCTTTGCTTGGCAATCTCCTTCACCACGTACAAGGCAGTCCGGGGCCCAGACAGCGCCCAGTCCTCGAACTCGCACCGCTCCGATGAGTCCGCCACACTCTTCAGGTCCCGGAAGCGGCGGCCGGCCGCGTCCCGCTTGATCGCCAGCGTGCGGGCGTCCTCGGCGGGCGGCGGCGTCGGCGTCCCCCCGACAGCCTCCGGCGCCGCGGCCGCCACGAAGGCCCGCATGGCCTCGTCCGCGGTCTCGCCCGGCGCCAGCCTGACCAGGACCGCCGACTTGCCGCGACGGCCCAAGTCGTAGAGCCCGTGCTGCCCGAACGCCATGAAGTTCTCCGACGGCGTGTCGAGCGAGTCCGGGAGCGAGTGCACCGCGCCCCGCTTGACGTCGCCCTCGGGGACCACGCAGACCCAGTCGGCCCGCTCGCCAGTCGCGCCGGAGCCCGCGGCGCCCGCCCCCGAGGGAGCGCCCCCGTCAGCCAAGGGCGGAGGCTCAGGCTCCTCGGCGAGCCCCCGCGCCGCGCGCAGCTCCACGGCCTGATCCTCCGCCGCGTCGATCCACGATTGCAGCGCAGCGCCGCGCGGCCGCTCCGTGAAGCGGTAGACCGGCTGGCCCTTCGCTGCCCCAAGGCCGGCCGGCAAGCCGCCCCGCGGGCCCGCCTGCCGGAAGTCAGCCACGCTGCGCGTGTCGATCTCCTCCTCGTACATGTCCTCGTCGGGGGTCAGCACCAGATACTTCGCCCCGCCCAAAGAAGCGAGGATCAGCCTCTCATGCCACGGTTCCCCTGCCTCCCCGTAGTCGAGGAACACCACGTCCCCTGCCTTCAGGTTGAGCGCCCGGCGCACCAGCGACTTGGCCGGCATGCTGAACGGGAGCGGCCGCGACGGGCGCTAGCTGCACCTTCACGGGCGCGTCCACGACGGGCGCCAGCTGCTCCGGCCGCTCGACTCGCGGAGGCGCCGGCGTGGCCTTCCAAAAGCCCCACAGGCAGATCCGCACCGACACCAGGCACGTGCAGATGGTCGCCTGCACCAGCAGCACCGCGAGGACGCCGAGCAGGATGCCCAGGCCCCCGGCGACGGCCGCCGCGCCCAGCGGCACCGGCGCCCCCCAGACGCCTGTCTCGGAGAGGCAGGCGTTGGCGCTGGTCGACAGCGCCAGGGCACAAGGAGAGACCTGAAATCCGCTGCTGGCGGCCTCGAAGGTGGAGGCTTTGGAGAAGGTGGCCCAGCCGAAATCTCCCATTCGCCGCCCCGAGAAAAACCGCTTGAGCCGAGGTGAGTACGGCCAGGCGGGAACTATTAGCATTGCGCGCTCTGTGACACTCCGCGGGCTCTGTTTCACAACGCTGCTACAGGAGGAGGAGGAGGAGGAGGAGGAGGAGGAGGACGAAGAGGAGGAGGAGGAGGAGGAGGAGGAGGAGGAGGAGGAGGAGGAGGAGGAGGAGGAGGCACAGCGTGCGGGAAAGTCCACGTCAGACCAATGGCAACTACCGATGCCGCTGCCTCCTCGGGATCCGCATGGCCAGAGCTATCGCCTGTACCTGTCCACGGGCTTCCCTGGGCGTGAGGGCGCGGGACGCAGAGCGGGCAAGGGGCGCAAGCAGGCGGTACCCATGGAAGAAGCCGACGCAACACCGGAGATCCTCCCCCACAAGGCCGAGACGACGCAGCCGATCCGCTGGCGGGGTCTGGCGGGTGGCAAGGGCGTGCATTGGGGTCTTCCTTCCGAAAGACGTGACGGCGGACGAATTGGCTCCCGAGGCAGGCCCCATCCGGAGGCGCCCTGGCGACACGCGCCCCTTAGGACTTAAGAACACCTCCAACAAAACGATCTCGGCACTCCTAAACGGGTGCATCCAGCCCTGGATTCGGGCCACGGGGGCGGGCATGCAGAGGGGCTTCATTGCAGGACGCCAGATGCTCGGCAACGTGGTGGAGTTGGATGGCATTTCGCGGGCTGACGCTCCTCGCCTTTGACTTTGCGCAGGCGTTCCCGTCTGTGCGCCAGTCGTGGCTGCACTGCGCCCTCTCGGTCTCAAAGGTCCCCGCCGGATTTCGGAAAGCCGTCGTCCAGTTCTACCTCTTGAGCCCGTGCTCAATGGTGACGGGGGAAGTGAATTGCCTCATGTTCTGGATCACCTCCGGCATTGAGCAGGGATGCCCGCTTTCGGGCTCGCTGTATGTTGCCACCTCCAACCCTTTTTATCGGGACATGGAGGAGACCGTCCAGAGTCGGGGCCACGGGGCCCTTCGAGCCTGTGCGGACGACGTCGGGGCTTGCGAGAGCTCGCCAGGATCTTCCGGTTAGCGCACCTGCTTGCTGCCCTGCTTTTGAAATTCCCGAAATGCAAGGCTGCGGGGCTCGGGGGACCTCCGTCTGAGGCTCGGGAGGGCCGCATTCGCCATCAGCTCGAGGCGGCCTGCGCCGATTGGGGCCAGTTTGGAATCGTAGGACACTTGAAGCACCTCAGCTTTTGGATCGGCCCGACTAGCACTGTGGACATGAACTGGGCGGCGCCCATGTCCCAGGCGCGCCTTCGTGTGGGGCAAATTGCTGGGCCAGGTGCTTCTGCCGCTACGTCTTTCCAGCTTTACGCCTCGAGGGCCTTCCCTGTCGCCTCCTATGCTTCCCAGCTCATCCCCGTGAGCTGGCAGCGCGCCTCTGAGGAACGACATTGGTTCGCCCAGCTCTGGCGTGCCTCCAGTTCGGTGGCGAGGGACGCGGATTGGTCTCATCTGGCTTCGGTTGGAGGCCCAGCGGTCCATTCTTTATTTCCCACGGCTGCCGCCGTCATGATGCGCACAACGCTCGTGACTACCGCGGTCTTGCGGCCGCTGCTGGTCCGGATCCGCGAGGCCTCTATCGTGGCCCCGGCGACGGGCGACTTTCTTGCCCCGCAATTCTGGAGGATGCCTTGCATCGCGGTGTCCCTCGAGAAGGCCGCGTCGGGCTTCCCCGAGGACCCAAAACTGCGGGCGGGGGGGCGGCAGGCTCTTGGACGGTGGCGTTTTGGGTCCACGGAGGTTCGCCCGAAGTGGCAGAGGGCCTTCGGAACTTCGATTGCCGAGCACGTGTTCCAAAATGACCTGCGGGAGCTCGTCAGGAGGAGGGTGGTCAAGTGGTATGGGGTGGACTTTCGGGCTGGGGGGGTGGTTTGGGACGAGTTGGCCACTTTCCTCTGGATTCAGCCCCCCAGCTGGGTCTCGGCAGCCTTGAAGACATGGCTTGGGGGATGGGCGACAAACACTCGTATGCAACGACATGCGCGGTGCCTCCTAAGGTGCGATTGTCCAGATAATCTGCGCCACTATCTGCTCTCATGCCAGCCGCTGTCTGAATTGGTCGCCCTTGCCACCCGCCAGACCCCGCCAGAGGAGGAGGAGGAGGAGGAGGAGGAGGAGGAGGAGGAGGAGGAGGAGGAGGAGGAGGAGGAGGAGGAGGCAACGTGCTCATGTGGAGGGTGAGCTCGCGGGGCCCGGGGCCGTCGTCCACGTCCATCGCGTGCTCCGTCATCCAGCCCAGGCCCTGGAAGCGCGGCGCCCTCGGGTCGACGCGCACCGCCCGCTAGATCTCCGGCAGCCGCCTCCCGATCAGCTCGTGCGTAGCCGGGGCGCTCGCGACAAAGCAACCGTATCTCAGGGCCAGCTCGAGGCCCTCGAAATGGATCCGACGCTCCTGGGTGATCGCGCTCACGCGGCGCACGGCCGATCGGCGTGCCCCATGGGCGTGGTGCGTGGACAGCGCCCGCCCCAGCGCTGTGGCCGTCCGCAGCAGCATTCCGACCCCGCGTGGCTCTGAGCGCGGCCAGGCGTCGATTCGGCTGAGGCCTGTCCAGAAATCGTGGCCCCGAGCTGGGTGCAGCCGTCGATCTCCGTCCGCTCCACTCTGATCGTCGTGCTCCCAACTGGCGTACTCGGTGGTGGGCTCCAGCTCCGCAGTCAGCCGACGTCGTGACTCACCCCAGCGGGCGCCCGCCACGGCGCCCATGGCCGCACCCGAGCTTCCCACCTCGACCGACGGCACCTCCTGCTCGAACTCGAGCCCCTTGGTGTCCGCCACATGCCAGGCGACGCCACTGCCCGCGATTCGCGCTGACTGGTTGCCGTCGGCGCCGAAGGTGTCAGCCGGTCGCGTCGCCACCGCGTGGTACCCGAGTAGCTCCGCGTCGCTGGGCTCCGACAGTATCGCAAAGTCCGCAGCGGCGCGCGTGGGCACCGCCGCGCTCCGAGCCAGTGGGGCCACCCCGTCCGCGCCAAGGTCGAGCACCTGGAGCGTCTCGCCCGGGCCAGGTGTGACCCCTCTCGCCTCCTTGATCCGCCACAGGGGCACGCGATGCTGCCATAATTCGGGATACCCGTCGAGCGCCGACCGCCAGCGGGGCTCCTCGATGTCCAGGGCGCGCACCGTCCACGTCCAACCTCGAGCGCAGCCGGGAGGCCCACGAGCTCGTCGGCAGCAGTGTCGGGCGGTGCTAGAAGTGCTCCTGGCCCAAGGTGCCCCCAGCGTTTCCTCCAGTTTGGAGCCCCTGGGGCCCTCTGGCCTCGTGAGGGGTGCCCTGGAGGCCGTCTGGGCCACCCCGAGAATCCTGGGGGTACCTTGGGCCAGGGGTACTTCTAGCAACACCCGACAGTGGCCGCCCGACCCGCCAGGCAGAAGGAGACGACGAGCACGACCATCGCGCCAGCCCGTCGGTGACTCCTCGCTGCCGCCGCCGCCAGCCGCCGCTGCTCCAGGCTGCCCCGCTGGCAGAGGAGCCGCCGCGGCCCCTCCTCACGGGGGCACGCCTCGCGAGGCCCGCCCCAGTGCGGCGCTGGGCGCACCCGCGCCGCGGGAGCCACCGGTGCCAGGAAATGGGCCGACTGGCGGACTCTCCCCTCCACACGCACTCGCTGCTTGACTTATTTGGAGCAGCGCCGCGAGGACCGAGGACCCCGCCAAGCCCTGGTCCATGGGGCACCAGGCCACGCTGGGGCGCTGGGGGCCCAGCGGCTATGGACCAACCCCTCCCGCACATGGAAAGACAAATGTTGACGGCACACACATATATGTATACACACATATATATATACACATCTTCTGGCTTTACTGACCTTGATTGGGGCCGTAGGCCATCCGTCCAGTCTTCGTCATCCTCCTGATCGCCCTGCTCCCCCACGCTGTCCTCTCACCCCCTCCGCGCGGCAAACGTGATGTAAACCCGACGTGCGATGTGCGATCACGGGGCGGGAGACCGAACAACCGATCGAACCAAAGCTTGGCAGACTCGACCGATCGACGAATTGATGTACTCGGGCCACGAACCGTCGAGTGAGAAGGCCGGGAAGGAGATCGCATGACATTCCCTCCTCCCTCCCCCCTCCGTGGAGATCAGGGGATCGGGCGACCACGGAAAGAACAGGTGAAAGAACACTGACATAATACATGCAGAAACTCTCGAGCCCCTCTGCATTCCCGCCTGCGCTTCTGTGGCTGAAAGCTCCCCCAAGGAGCCGCCCACACTCCGAAATCTGATCCAGTTCTCGAGGCAATGCCCGCAGTCGCAGACGCATTTCCTCGAGGAGGGGATGAAATGTAACGGAGGGCAGACACAGACATACATTGAGAAAGAGAGAGAGAGAGAGAAAGAGAAAAAGAGAGAGGGAGAGAGAACCAGAGAGAGAGAGAGAGAGAGAGATGGAGAAAGGGAGAGACAGAGTGTGCGGCATAGAAGGAGGGAAGGAGAGAGAGAGAGAGAGAGGAAGGCAGATAATTCCACATATGTATAAATAACGATATCACCATCGACGGAGGGCAGATGATGATAGACTCCCGAAGGTGGTTACTTGATCTCGCTACATACATATACACACCGAGATAGATAATCTGACATACGAAACATGGATGATGATGCACAGGACGCGTACGTACACCTGTATCGAAATTTATGGCGTTAGAGCGACAGAGAGTTGACGACAACATATTCGAATCCATATATGTACACTTAGGCACATGTAAGCGTGTGCGTTGGATGTTGTGAGTGCGTGCGTGCGTGCGTGCGTGCGTGCGTGCGTGTGTGCGTGTGCGTGTGTGTGTGTGTGTGTGTGTGTGTGTGTGTGTGTGTGTGTGTGTGTCGCCTGCCTTGGCTGGGTCCCGTCTGCCCTTCGTCTCTACCATTACGGCCCACCTTTGCGGCTTGTCGCTGCGCCTCGCCCTTCTAGCCTCTTTGCCTCCTTGTGTCACCCCATTCCCTCCACCTCGCGCCAGACCCTCCGCGAGTAACCCCGTCGGGCCCCCGCGCCGCGTGACAAGGGTCGGCCGCCCGCGTGTCCTCGCCCGATTTTCTACGCCGCGCCGTCGCGCGCGTGGCCGCGACGCCACTGTGCGTGGTGTGTGTGTGTGTGTGTGTGTGTGTGTGTGTCTGTGTGTGTGCGTGCGTGTGTGTGTGTGTGTGTGTGTGTGTGTGTGTGTGTGTGTGTGTGCGTGCGTGCGTGCGTGCGTGCGTGCGTGCGTGCGTGCGTGCGTGCGTGCGTGCGTGCGTGCGTGCGTGTGTGCGTGTGTGTGTGTGTGTGTGTGTGTGTGTGTGTGTGTGTGCGTGTCCCGTGTTGCCATTCCGCCGGAGCAGTCGCCCTCTGCCCAGCCGCCGACGCAAAATGTGTGTGTGTGTGTGTGTGTGTGTGTGTTGTGGCGTGCGTGCCAACAAGTGCGATTTCTACACGTGTTTTGTCCCATTGCTCGGCGACGCCATATTTTGGGCAGTCATACTGGAACTGCTCGCGGATCCGCCCGCCGGCCCCCTTGCGGGGCCATCAGGCTGCGAGGATCAGGCTTGCTGCTCCCTGCACCAGTTCCAGTTTCCAATGTTACAGTATTGCTTTCTGCTCCTGACTGTAAACTGTTGGTGTACGCGCGAAGGGTGGGGGAACCGAAAAGGGCCCTGGTTAGCGTCCCCGAGTCGAGTTTTCTGAATCTCTGGAGGGCAGTGGGACATGTAGAAATACATGAGATTCGCGCTCCCGACGCAATAATCCTTAGTCAATTACGCTGTTCTCGCGCCCCCGAGGCCAAGATCCATGTAAATCGTTGAACTCGCGTCCCCGAAGCCACGATCCCTCGTAAAACATGCGATTTTCACGCCCCTGAAGCCACGATCACCAGCAAATTACGCCACGCTCTCGCCTCTGGGGTCACGACCCAATGAAAATTAGTCCTCGAAGCCTCGATCCTTAGTAAATCGCGCCGCAATCGCGCCCCCGAGGCCACGATCTCCTACAAGAGGCCCCATGAAGCGCCCAAGACGCGCCCAAGACGCCTCCCCAAAAAACCAACAAAAATACCCCACGAGGCCCCAAGAGGCCCCCAAGAGGCGCCCAAACCGCCTCCAAGAAGCCCCCGAGAGGCTCCCCACGACACCCCAACACATATACAAGAGGCCTCAGACCCACAACCCAGCCACGGTGGATGGGCCGAAGGTCACTCGGATAACGCCAACGTTTCAACATGCGCTGGTGACTCCTATCCGCCCCCGCATGCTGTTCCCAAATGCGCCAAGGTAGCGCCGAGACCTGTTATATCCCATTATGATAGAGAGGGGGCCGGCGGCAGGGGGCGAAGCCCTCGCGGATGTGAGCTCGAAGCGACGGCGTTTTCTTCGAATTGGGGAATTAGAGACAGCCGGTCACCAAGGCAATCACCACCGACCAGCTTGGTTGCCCACCAGGAGCCGTAACATTGACAGCGCTGTGGATCTGCGGCCGAGGTCAAGAAAATATGCGGTTTGGGGACCATGTCGCACTGGGTTGGGGCCCATTCGTGGAAAGGCCGTTTGTCCCACGCCCACGCCGCGCCGACAAGGCCTGCAGCGTGTTCCTCAGGTCGCTCAAAGGAGAGGACAACTCAGCAGTGGGGAATCTGGCTCGTGACCAAGCGATGGCCCTGGACGGCCAAGCTGACGCGAAGTGCGCGACTGGTTTGGCGCGCGTCCTTCAAGAGTGTCCCCGCGAGCTTCCCGGCGAGACGCTCGCCGCGCACTGCAGTATAACGAAGCCCCCGCCAGACGCCATCCACAGGTTGCGCTAGGGCGGCTCAGATGGCATCGCCCGCTCGGAATCACTAGGGCAGGGGGAGCCGCGCGGGATATTCGACGACGAAAGCGCGCTATCCACCATCGACTTCGGGGAGCCAGACGACGTCTCCATGCTGCGAGGAGACCGCGCTGTGCACCCCCGACAAGGACCAACAAGACCAGTCCCCAGTAGGGCTACAGTATGCCCTACATATTACCAAAGCTGGTCCTGACGGGGAAATCATCGTTTTGCCGTTGAAGGTGACGCTCGAGGACGGCGACGAGGATTTGGGCGCCGCCATGTGCCTTGCTCTCTCGAGAAGAACCCTCAAGCGGTGGCGGCCACGACTGGGTATCCCATCTTCGCGAACTACTGACTGTGCATATATCCAACAACCGTGCAAACAAAAAAAGGGGACAATTTGGTCGGGCTGCAGCGCTGCGCGGTCGTGGATAAGCATGCTGGCGACCCCGGATGCAGCATCCACCTGCCCGGCGGGGTCGACCAGCGCATTGACTTCGGTGCCCGGCGCGGGCGTTCCGTCCGAGAGGACAAGCTTGAGACCCTGTGCCTCGCGCAAGTCGCACTGGGAGGTGCGCTGCGATGCGGCGGCATTTGCGTAGAAGTGGATCGTAAGGCCTCGTTGCGCATGTAACGAGCGCGCAGCGCTCGAAACGAGGGCGCCGGGGCCAGCTGGAATCTGTTGGGGCTTCGCTTGAAGCGCAGTGGCCGCAGAGCAGGAGCGCTGTCATCGGGGAGATCGATGCGGTGGGCCTCCGTGGTGGCGGGGGGCGCGCTCGCCACGGGCTGGTCCGCGGTGCCCGCGGGGCCAGAGTTTCGGAGCCCGCGGAGGGCGCGACGGTCGTCGGGCCTCCGCGGCAGGCGGCGCCCCTTCGGCGCTCGCGTGGGCGGGCGGGGCTGGGGCCCCAGCGGCGTCGGTAGTCGGGGCTTCGTCGTCTGCCAAGCGCCGGGTAGAGTCGCCCAGCGTGCGCTTCAGAGCAGCTTCCTGAGGAGGGGTCCTGGCAGGGGGGGCGCGTGCCTGAGGCAGGCCGCCCCCGCCGCGAGGAGTCGCTCGATGCGTTTCATCGCCTGGGTCGCTGGGCGCAGGTGCCGGCCCCGCGCAGCCGTCGCCGGCGGCGGCCGGCGCAGTGCAGGCGGCCTCGGCCTGGGCGCTGGCCTCGTCAGCGACGCCGCTGGGGCCGTCTGCTGGCGTTGCGCTTGCGGTGGCCAGGTCCAGGCCTAGGCCAGTCAGGACGTCGTTCCAGAGATCGGCGTCGCGCGGAGTCGCGTCGGCCGCCGTGGCCGCGGCGTCGCTCCTGGCAGGGGCGGCGGGGGCGCGCGGGGGCGGAGGCGCGTGCTGGCGGCCCGCGTCAGCGCGCGGCCGAGCTGAGCTCGCCCGTGGCTGCCGCCAGTGGCGCGGCGCCCGTCGTGGCTGTCAGTTGCCCGTCTCTCGGTGCGGTGTCGGCGTCGGGGGGCGCGCTGGTCTCGGTGCCAGTGGCGGCGACGTCGGTCAGCGTGGGCCTCGCGCTGCTGGTGGCGGCGCCAGGGTACTGGGTCGGGTTGGTGGAGGCAGCTCCGGCGGCCGCAGCCGCCCGCTCGCCCTCGCGGGGGCGCGAGAGGCTGGCGAGGCGACGGGGGCGGTGGGCGAGCGGTTGCATGCGTCGGGCGTCGGCCTGGCGGAGGCCGCGCAGCAGCTGCGGCGAGGCGCCGCGTTCGTAGGGTGGTCCGCTCGACGTCCGCGCGAGGCGTCGGGGCGCTGGCGGCATCTGCGTCCGCCCCGGGGCGCTGGCGGCCTGCGCGTGTGTGCGAGGCGCCGCGTCCACGTCGTCCCAAGGGTCGTGCTGAGCCGACGCTGGAGAGGGGGGGCCGCGCTAGGGGGCTGACCTTCCTTCGCGGCGATGTCGTGGAAGTCGGCGCGGGGCTGGGGGCCGGTCGCTCGGGGGCGGGCATTGCGGCCGTCTGGGAGGCGGGCGACCAAGATGGCGCCGGGGTCCTGGGCGACTACAACGCCGCGTAGTCCGTTGACGGGGTTGCAGACCTGATTGCGGACGACAGCTCCGGAGCCGACGCGGATCGAGCCTCCGAAGGGGGTGTTGGGCGCCAGCCTGCGAAACGACGGGGCGCGCTGGGGGCGGCGGCTCCGCGTGGGCCCGGCGGTCTCGCAATGCAGCGGGTCCTCGCCGCCGAACCTCGGGCGGCGCTCGACCGTGGAGCGCCCGGGCGGGGGCTGGGCGCCGCGGCCAAGGGTCGCGTCTACTGGCGCGACGCAGGGCGCCTCCGCAGTGTTGGCTTCGGCGCTGGGCGGCGCGGGGTCAGCGCCGACGTCAAGGGGCGCGGGGCCTCGGCGTCGGCGCCTCCTGGGAAGGGCGTCGTCGGCGTAGCTGCGGCGCCGACGGGGTCGAGGGGCGCCGCGCCCGTCAGTGGCGCGCTGCGCGGCGCTCAGTCGCCAGGGGTGTGGTGCGTGAAGGCGGCCTCGTCAGCAAGGGCGCTGGCGGCTGCGTCCTCGTCGC